AGTCCTAGATCTTAAGTTCTGGGCCCAGCTTTGTGGCTTTGGATAAGTTACTTGATCTCTCTGAGTTATAATACTATAAGAGAGAATAATAAATCCTTTGTAAAAGAGGATAATACAGTAAATAAGATATATGTTGATATGTTTGTGGGTGGAAGACAGTCCTCAAGCATTGTATGTTCCACACATAAAAACATCTTGCACATATTAAGCATTCAGTAAATATTGCCTATTTTTATTAAGAACTATTATGGTAATTCTGCAAGCCTAGTATTGTTATACCCACTGCATAAATGTGGAAATGGGTTCAGAGAAGGTATAACTTATGTAAGAATACACAGTGAATGGTAGAACTAGGATTTAAATCCATCCATTTAAATCCATCTTAAAAAATATTAAACAGTTTCTTATCTCCAGATTCTCACTTATCATATTGCCTTGAAAAGAGGGAAAAGAGCAGAAAAATGAAAGGAAAAAATACCTTTTAAAAAGTTACTCATCCTCTTATTCCCATACTAAAACCCTCTCCTTTTGCCTGGATTTTTAACCCTCTAAATATCTTGTGTAATGTATGTCAAAATTGCTATGTGAAATGTATTTTGGGTTTCTAAGATAAACAGTGTTCCTTTAGACTTATAAGGAGGTATATGAACAATTTCACATCTTTCAAGTTTTCTTGAAACTTGTTAAAAAACAAATTATCATCCCTAATCCTTGAGAATTGCCCATTTTAAATTTGTTTTCTAGAGGCTATAAAAGTTTTGTTTCCAAAACTTGCTGGAAAAATTTGTGCCAGTAGCCAGCACCACTATATTCTTTTTTTTTTTTTTAATGACACTATTATTCTTACCTATTATTCCACTGATGCCAACTTACTAGACCCCTGAAATGGAATCAGGTGTTTTTAGTATATATAATGGTGCTTCCTTATCTTTGGTTTCACTTAACCTACAAACACAATCCAGATATTCCAGATATAAACAAATCATCAGTTTTAAATTATGCACTTATTCTGGGTAATTTGATGGATTCTTGCATTGTCCCACTCCATCTTGCCCAAGATGTGAATTGTTTCTTTGTCCAGTGTCTTTGGACTGGGTATGCAACTTGCATGTTCGTCACAGTAGCTATCTTGGTGGTCTGATAGACTGTTGAGGTATTCAGTGTTTGTGTTCAGGTAACCCGTATTTTACTTAATCATGGCCCCAAAGAGCAAGAGTAGTGATGCTGGCAATTCAGATATGATAAAGATTTAAGTATCATCTCATGTTGTCACAAGAAGGAAGGTAAATTCAGTATAATAAGTTTTGAGAGAAAGTGACCATATTCACATTAACTATGTTGCAGTATATTGTTATAATTGTTCTATTTTATTGTTGTTAATCTCTTAACTGTGTCTAATTTATAAATGAAACTTTGTCATAAGTATGTATGTATAGATTGGTTGGGACCACGTTTTTTGGGATTTTGGATATTGTTGATTTTGGAATATTTGTAGGGAGATATTTTCAGAAAGAACCAGGTCTAAACATGATATTCAGTTATGTTTCATAAACACCTTATAGCCTAAAAGTAATTTTATACAATAGTCATACTGCACCTGCATTTTGACCATGACCTGTCACATGAGGTCATATGTGGAATTTTCCACTTTTGAGATCATGTTGGTGTTCAAAAATTTTTGGATTTTGGAGCAGTTTGGATTTCTGGATTAGGGATGTTCAAGCTATATAGTGGGGGAAAAAAGCATAAATAGGGTTTGGTGCTATCCATGGCTTTAAGCCTCTGCTAGTATTGGTACATATCCCCTGTAAAAAAAAAAAAAAAAAAGGGAGGACTACTGTTCTTACAACTCTGTTATTGTTCCTGAATAATTAACATACCACCGTCCCCCTTTTGGCATGTCTGAAATACCAGAAGAATCAGTTGAATAGATTGATTTGTTCCTTCCTAGTCTAATATTTTGTGGCATCAGTAAAACCTATAGGTACTAGAGCCAATTTTAACAATTGTCTGATAAAGGAATAAATTCTTCTTAGTAGGGATGACATTTCCATGCCCTAAATCCTGGACACACACACACACATAATTCTAGCAAATAAGAAAAGATTTATGTGATTATTTTCTATGACACTCAGAATAGTTGGAGAGTGGGTGCACATGGGCAGAATCTTAAAAAATATTAAACCAGGCAAAACAGTTTCTTAAAGCCATTGTGTATAAAGTATCATCCAAGTCTTTTGAGCAACATTAATATGCAAGCAGTCTGCTTTGGATAAACAAAAGTAAATTGTTTTCCCAATTATATAAATTGATATGCTTCTGACTTCCTTAAAATATAAGCAGTGGAACATAATGAACTTTCTTGTTAGTTGACTGAATTCTCCATTGTTTATAAGAAAAATACTGAGCAAAGGTTCTTCTAGCTTATTGTAATTAGCCTGAAACCTGATTATAAACCTAGTTCATCTGTGAGCCTACTAAGGTTCTGAAATTTAAGATTATTATTTTTTCTCTGTTAATTGGCGGGGGGACACCAAACAACTTAAGCCCAGCAATTCCAGGTTACTGTTAAGAGAGGCCAAAGGAAACCTCTTTATAAAATTGAAAATTTCTAGAGTCTAAGGGACATTAATTATATTTAGCAACCAACTCATTTTACAGATCAGAGTGTTGAAGCACAGAAATATTAATTTTTCTAAGATCACATGGGTAGGCATAGCCATGAATGAAATCCAGGTTTCTGACTACTGTCTCTGTTCTCTTCCAACTCTTCTTTTTCATTATTTTAGGATTGGGCATTAAACATTTATACTCTTTTTTTATGTGGTAAAATATGCATAATATAAAATCATTAAATTTCGAAGTATTCTTTGTCATAGGTGAATAATACATGAATATGGAACAGAAGTCAAAAGGCACACAAAAGTTCACAGTCTATTGTTCTGACAGCCCCGCTCCTTGAACTCCTGTCCATCCCAATTCCCCTTCTCGCAAATAGCCACTGTAAAGAATGAGGCATTTTAAATGGACCATTTTGGTCTAATATGCACAAACTGACATTGTGTTGCATTTTTCTTCATGAGTTGCAGTCTGGCCTGCCAAGTTTAGGGAATGCCCAGTAGAGGAAACACATAAGCCATGGAATTGGAATGTGGAGAGATTTATGAATTGGATTTGAAAATTACCCCCAATCCAAATTATTTCATGTAATAGAAGGAGGGCTGTCTTACTGCAGTAGTTTATTATGCAGATACTGCCTTTTGTACAGAGAACCCCGAGTAAAAGAGCCCTCATATATCCTCTGACAAGGAAAAACCCAAGTCTTGCATGACTCCTTGCAATTGCTTTACAGTTAATAGTACATCAGCCAGAAGAAAGCTGGAGATGCTCTGAAACTGTTAGTGGAGGACAGTGGTCTGCTTCTTTCAGGCCTCTGAGTCTGGGAAGCCTTAATGCCCTGCCCTTGGATTGGGTGAGGAGAGGAAGGCGGGGGCTCTAGGAGTATACATGCACTTATGACCACACTACCACTTTTGAGGTTGAACAGCATGAAAAGCAGCTGGTAGCAATGCCTTTTTGTGCTATCGAGTACTGGGTTGTCTGCCCAGCACAGGTACTAGCGACTACCTAGGATGACAGATCTGGCTCAGAAATGCTGTAGGCTAACGTCCAGCAGGCCACAGTTGGGTTCATCCTGGCTTAAAAGGCACATCCCACCCAGTGAATGGAAGAAGGAAGGGAACTGTGACCATTTCTCTTTGGATACCTGTGAGTGAGTATCTTGACACCAGGTTTCACCTGGGGAAATGATATAGGAAGTTTGTAGGTGGCTTAGAGGAAGAGAGAGGAGAGTGGGTTGAAGGAAGTGATGGAGTAGGAAAGGCAAGGTGGAAAGAAGTTGTGTTTTTGAGAGAGAAGTTCTTTGACTTCATTGCTGTTAGACTGTTGGATTGTTCTACTTAAGGTGATGGTTTTCAAATTTCTTTGATCCTAAGTTTAACCTAGAATACTTGCTAAAAGTTGAGATTGCTTGACTTCTGTCCCATATGGTAACTTAGTGAGTCTCAGGTAGAGTCTCTGAATCTTGGGGTGGTTTTGATACGATTTCAGGTGATTGTGGGGAACCATACTGGATCAGGGCTAGAGGGTACATCTTTATCAGCTCTGGACATTCTACACCAGGTTTGTGTTTTGTTGTGATATGAGCATAAAGAGTGTGGGGAGCCTTAACTGCAGATGGCTAATTTATATCAAGATTACAGCTTTTTTCCAAAAAGTATGCATGTTCCTTTTTACTTGATAATAATACCTTGAGGTTGATTCTTTAAAAATATTTTTGATTGTTGAAAACACTGGAATATTAATTCATAGTAACTGTTTAAACAACAGTGCCATTAATCTTTGCAAATAGAATCACAGATTCACCTTTGTTGTAATGGCTCTACCATTATTTTGACCTAGACTAATATTCTGTGATTTTACATTTATTTAGAATTGAGAGGGTATATGTGTTAGTCAGCTTTGTGTCACTGTGACAAAAAAAAAAAAAAAAACAATAATTTAATTAATTTTTAAGGAGGAAAGCTTATTTTGGCTCATGGTTGCAGTCCACAAGCCTCTGGCAAAACAGCACACGAAGGCGGAGCATGTAGTAGAGAAGGCTGCGTGTTCACCTCAAAGTGGCCAGGAAGCAAAAAGAGAAGGGCCCAGGATCCCAGTGTGCTCTTCAAGGGCCTGTTCCCAGTGACCTCCCTTCCTCCACCTAGACCCAACCTCCTTAAGGTTCCATCACCTCCCAGTAGGGACCAAGTCTTTAACAAATGGGCCTCAGTGGGAGATTTCAAATCCAAATGATAGCAGTATGATAATTGACTATAACTATTTTTTTATAGTTAGAACTTTAATAATGAGGACATAATCTCTGTTTGATCATCACAGTCTTTTTAACAACTATAACAAATATAAATTATAAATTTCAGTGATTGTATTTTTCTTTTCAGATAGAAACCAAGGTTTTAGCCTTCTCAACTCATTGGCTGCAACAAACCATAGCATTGGATCAGCAGAGACCTGTCACTCAGAGGTAAAGATGTTTTTGGATCTTTTCTCCTCTTTGGCCTTAATTTCTCCTTGTTATTATGAATCTTTACACATTCATTGTTTTTTTTCTTTTTTTATTAAGAGGTGATAGGATATTAAAAATAGATGCAAGGAGAATCTAAAGTAGCCCTATTGTGCCTGGTATCTGTTGTGAGAAGGGCAGTTCAGCCCCCGTGAAAGCAGTCAGCACTTTCAAAATGTTGACAGTTGGGCTAGTGTGTGTGTGTGTGTGTGTGTGTGTGTGTGTGTGTTTGCTAGAGTGTTTTTTATAATATGCTAGGATTTCCTTGAGACATAAACTTGCCTCCAGATCTTTAATTAGTAATTGAAACTGGTAGTTTTCTTAATACTTCATGCATACAAGGCCGTATAGAAATCAGAGGAAAGGTCCCTGCCCTGAATGAGTTGATAATCCAGTTTCAACCCTCTGTCCTCAGGACTCTGGTCCAGATTTACCTTGGTTAACATGCTGAAACCAAGACTAAATGATATGGTGCTATGCTGTCTCTCCAGGGGCCTTTTTCTTAGCCTTTGAGCTGTTTGCACTATGATGTGTAGGTTCTCAGATTTGAAATATAACATGAATCTTAAATGATGCAAACGAAAACATGTTTTAATAGCTTGTAGCAAAATCATAGCACTTTCTAGTTTTTCCTTGAGGGAAAATACTCCTGTGTTAGTGAATTTTCAGTCTTTTATGATTAATGTAATCTTACTCTTTCTTTCCTTGCCTCTAGCTTGTTACCACTTCTCTACAACCAGCAAGGGAGTGTGAAAGCGTTAGCCTTTTTGGATTTATCTCTGAAATAGTGTGCTATTCAGTTGTTGCTTATGTGTATTTTCTTCAACAGCAGTCCCATTTGCCAGCAGCAGATAGGACAGAGTCCTTCCCAGGTCATCGGGATGGTGCATCTAACACAGCAGATTCCCGGCTGGATAGCAGTGTGGGTAAGTTCCTTCTTTGGCCAGCAAGAGATAGCTCTGTGGAACTTGGAATTGACATCTTGGCAGAAATCCTTGGGGGGCGGGGTGGGGGGGGGGCCTTGATATTAAACATGGAAAAAGGAAGAAAATGGATGATGTACTCTAAATGAATGTAAGCCTGTGCATGTCAGAAGAAGGGGGATAGAATAAGTACATAAGAAATATGTGGGCACTGTTTCCTTTTTTATCGACTTAGCAGGATCTTGATTCAGATTATCTCAGCTAAGACAGAACCAAGTAGTAAAACGACAGTTTTTCGTGGTATTTAACAGTAAGTAGTCAGAATTAATGGTGACAAGAATAATATACAACTTTCTAAGCCCTTTCATATTCTTTTAAACTTCTTTTATATCCACTTTCTCATTTGGTAATGAAGTTTGGCAAAAAAAAAAAGTTGTTTTACGGAGATGAAGTTTAATCACGTGTCCAAGGACATCTAGCACCTGAAACTGAAACTGGAATCCAGTCTGCTTTCCAGAAGCCAGAAAGCCAGGGAGCTTAGTTGACAATAACTGTGGATGTTCTACTTATATTCCTGCTTTATCTTTATGCCACTGAGAGCTCATGTGCAGTAATAACTTTTAAAAGCTATTTTAAAACTATAACTTTGAAAAACTGATTATAAGGTAAGCCATGTAGAAAACACAAGTTATAAAAAAAACATTAAGAAGAAAAAATTATGTATAATCTCTCTTTCTCTTGAGTTTATTCAACTTTGTCTTCTTAATTGAATCCTTCCTACTGGCTTTTAAACCTGCTTAAGTTTCTAGCAGTAAGCTGTGATCATACTGAATTGACATCACACACAGGTTGGGGGAGATGAGAAGGAACCTGAGTAACTTGGGAAACAGACCCTGAGGCTGAAAACAAAGAATAGAACACAAATACTAAACTTTCTTCAATGGATTTGTTTCTCACAGAAGTATAAGTTAGCAATTCTAAAAAGAAGAAGAAAAAAGTGTGTTTGTGTGTGTGTATGTGAATGTGCCCATACATATATATACACACATATATATATACACACATATGATAAAAAATAAAATATATTCTAGATAATGAGGGCTTGCTTTCTCACTTAGAAGAACTTACGAATAAAGAAAGGAGAAGGGTAGAATGAACCCTTTGATATTAAACTGGAATCTGTTATATCAGTATGAACTCACGGTTTTTAAAACATATACTTAAAGTCAGGACACTAGGGAAATAAAAATAGATATGTGTGTGCACATGTTAGTGTATATACATAAACTTCCTAGTCCTGTCCCCAAAAGTCTAGAAGCAGCAATATCCCAGTAGTGGTAGATGCACTTAGCACTTAACAGATCTTGGTTTCTAAATACCATTCTCCAGTAAAAGGAACTAGGGCTTCTTGAGAAGTGGTTGATTCCAGGGCTAGGGCAGGGAAAAAGCAGGATGTGCCAGGAGCATCTCGTGATGCCAGAAAGTAAAGAAATACTCAAAAAAGAATGGGGAGGGGCTGGGGTTGTGGCTCCGTGGTAGAGCATTTGCCTAGCATGTGTGAGGCACTGGGTTCACTTCTCAGCACTGCATATAAATAAATAAAAATAAAGGTTCATCCATAACTTAAAAAAAAAAGAATGGGGAGACATATTAAAAGGGTACAGGAGCCAACCTGAGCGAGCTTCCAGCTGGAACAGTTTGACCAGAAAAATAAGTTAGTATATTATTGGTTTATAATTTATAGAATAAAATGAGTATTCATGGGTGTATAGTAATATAAATAAATAAGTGGGAAAGAAAGACTCCTCCCCTTTATAGAAGAATTTCAATTAAAGAATTTGTAGTAGTGAGGAAAAAACAAAAACCACCTTTAGGCACATACCACAGTGACAGGTGTCACAGGCAAGATCTGCTCGAATAGGTTAAAATTAGTGGATGAAAGTTTGAGTAGAAGTAGTAGGATATTTACATAGTTTAGAAGTATCTCTCCTAAGATTTATTACAAAAGAGAAAGTAGCAGCTGCAGACTGGACAAACATGGCAGATAGTGACCATTTCACCTACATGATGCAGGTGACCTTCACCAGTAATAAAATTCACTGACTTCAGATCTCCCTGCTAGGGTGCATGGAGGAGGACACATCACTTCTTGCCAAAAACGTCATAAGATGAAATCAGATGAACCATATTAAGAGACATTATACTAAATAATTGACCAGTACTCTTCAAGGTATCAAGAGTCATAAAAGGCAACAAAAGATTGAGGAACAAACTAGAGAGAGATGATGAGATTTGACAGTTAAACTCTGTAGGATCCTGGAATAGAGGAAGGGTATGAATGGAAAAACTGATGAAGCCTGAATAAAGTCAGTGATTTAGTCACCAGCATTGAATCAATATTAACTGCTCTGTATTTATACTTGTAACATGGATATATAAGAGGTTAGCACTTGAAGCTGGGTATAGTGATACACGCCTATAATTCCAGCAGCTTGGGAGGCTGAGGCAGGAGGATCATGAGTTCAAAGCCAGCCTCAGCAAAAATGAGGTGCTAATCAACTCGGTGAGACCCTGTCTCTAAAGAAAATATAAAATAGGGCTTGAGATGTGGCTCAGAGGTTGAGTGCCCCTGAATTCAATCACTGATTTCCCCCCCCCCCCCAAAAAAAAAGGAGGTTAGCACTTGGGTAAGGTGGCTGAATGGCTTGGGGGAACTCTATATATTATTTATTTTTTATTTTTTAGTATAGTTGGACACAATGCCTTTATTTTATTTATTATGTAGTGCTGAGGATCCAACCCATGACCTTGCACGTGCTAGGCAAGCACTCCACCCCTGAGCTACAACCCCAGCCCCCTATATACTATTTTTGCAACCTTTTTTTTTTGGACTGGGGATTGAACCCACAGGTGCTTTACCACTGAGCTATATCCCTAGCCGTTTTTGTTTCGATACAGGGTCTTGCTAAATTGCCTAGGCTGGCCTTGAACTTGTGATCCTCTTGCCTCAGCCTCTCAAGTCACAGGTATACACCACTGTGCCTGGCATTGGCAACTTTTTTGTAAGATTAAAATAATTTCAAAGTTTAAAAAATAAGTCAAAACAAACAGAAACAAAACTCTTCCTCAACTCCACATCTCCTTTCATACCTCTTTGTTAAACCTATTTTCAATCCTTACTTCCCATTGCTTCTTTCTCTCTTTTTGTTTGTTATTTTTAGTTCCCATTACTTCTCAACTTTCAACTAGCTTTTGCCCTCACTAAACCACTAAAACATCTCTGTGTGGAGGACACCAATGACCTCATGCCACTAAATCTAACAGATATTTAGGCTTCTTGGTGGCATTCAGTCTTAAAGACAGTCCCTCACTGAAACAGTATCTTGTCTTGATCCACTCACCATGGCATCTTCTGGTTTTCTTCTTACCCTGTTGTTCCTCCTCTTTCTTTGGTAGATTATCCTCCTTTACCCAGCCTTTAAATATTGCCTTCATCAATGTTCCACCTAAACTCCTCTTGCATATCTATTTTTAAGCACAAAGTGTATCTGTCTTTGTCCGTGGATTACTTACCATGGGTCCACAGGTAAATCACAATTTTTCATCTTCAACCTTATACCAGCTGCCTACATGACATGTCCATTGAACTAAAACCAACTTATCAACTAAAATGCATTTTTTTTATTTTTAATTTTAGTTGGACATAACTTTATTCATTTTTTTATGTGGTATTGAAAATCAAACCCAGTGCCTCACACATGCTAGGCAAGCGCTCTACCACTGAGCCACAGCCCCAGCCCGAAAATGAATTTTTAACATCAAATTGTATGGCACTGTGGTAGATGCAAAGAATTCTAAGTTATCACCTTTGTCTTCAAGGAGCTTGTAGTCCAAATATGTAGAGACAGGACTTATAATGGTCAAGGCCATGAGCTTTGAAGCCCTACATAGCTGAGTTCAAATAATAGCTCTACTACTAGTAGTGAGATGACCTTGAGTAAATTATTGAACCTCTCTTGGCCTTAGTTTCCTCTTCTGTAAAATAGGAATAACAAGTCTTTCCTCATAGTGCTGTTCAGAAATGAAGTGGACTCATGTAAGTTAAAGCACTCGGTAGAGCAGGCACAAAGGGTCCTTCTGGTACCGCATAGTGTGTGTGTATCAGTAGTGGTGGGGAAGTGCTAGTATGCACAGTGGCATGTGCAGGTGCTGCAGCAGCTCTGTAACTGGTGTTAAAAACAGATTTCTGAGGAAGGAGACTAGGAACTGGGATGGTTAGGGAAGACATTTGCAAGATTGTGGTCTGGGAGTGGAGAATGGATCAAAATTCTGAGTAAAGGGGCTGGGGATGTGGCTCAAGCGGTAGCGCGCTCGCCTGGAATGCGTGCGGCCCAGGTTCGATCCTCAGTACCACATACAAACAAAGATGTGTGTCCGCCAAAAAAACTAAAAAATAAATATTAAAAAAATTCTGAATAAAAACAAACTTTGATTAAAAAAAAGTAATGTACTAAGATAGAAATAGTAAAGGATTTGTAGTAAGAAAATATGAATTTAAATCAGCTCTGCTTCTGAATAGCTAGCTGTAATTTAGCTGAGTTCACTTTTGAATATGGGTTTTATCATCTATAAGTTGTGAATGATGATATCCTAATCAGCTTATATGGTGTCAGTAGATGTAAAAATACTTGTAAAGTTTGGCATTAATTTTAGTCCTTATTGTTGAATCACTGTGCCTTATTGAATCTGGTGTGGCCTTCAGAGTTGGAATCACCTACTTGTCAGTTCACTTACCAGCTGTGACCTAAAGCAAGTCCTTCAACTCTTGAGCTTTGATTTTCTTATCTCTGAAATGGAAGTAGTATTCCTTACCTCATTACAGCATTGTAAGGATAAAAGAAGATGCTGTTCACTTAGGGGCCCTCCTAGCAGCCAAGCAGGGTGAGGCACTCTGAATTGTAAAACTGGCACACAGTGCTACTCAGTCATTGTGACATTCATGAAGGCCAGCATTAATTGCCTTAGAATGCTGTGTGTTGACAACATATATAACTAACATGTGACAAATCTTTATTTCAGATCCCATGTTAGATCTGGATATTCAAGAATTAGCCAGTCTTACTACTGGAGGAGGAGATTTGGAGAATTTTGAAAGATTATTTTCAAAGTTAAAGGAAATGAAAGGTAATCAACTCCATTGTGTCTAATTCCCATATTGATATTAATTTATTTTATATAAGAGAACTTTATTTTGTAATTGCTGGATTGGATACATGGTCTGGTCTCAGCTATCTTCAGAAAGTTAACCACTGGGGCAACTCTACCATTCTCCATTGATAAAATTCCCTGGGGAAAATTTTGCTTTCTTTGTTCTTTTTCCTCTTAATTTTCCTTCTTCTGCTGCCCTATTTCTTTCAGTGTGTCTCATTAACATGGCATCTGTAAGATCCCCACCAATTTACTCACCTTATTCCTATCTGGAAAATCTGGAAGACTTAAACTTCCTAATACCTGTAACAGCTACACCATCAACATGTCTTTGAAACCCATCTCCCATCTTCTAGTGTTAGAACACCCATATACTCCAGATTCTCCTATGCTATTAGACAAATTTCTTAAGATATATTTTCCCCCTAGACAAGGCTGCGACGCTTCCTCACGAGCAAAGAAAATTGCATGCAGAAAAGGTGAGACAATCCGTCAGGTACTTATTGAGTACCTACAAAACATCCAGTGCTTTATGATTATATTATATCACACTTCTGTACTTCTGAGGGGTCTTATAGTGAACTTTTCATTGGATATTAACATAACTAGTTTAAAATATTTATACAGTAGTAATACAGTTACTGAAGTCAGACTAAGATTTTTCAAATGTATGCTGAGTGACATAAACTGTATTGAGACTTGGAATGTTTGCCTTTCTAACAGTTGGGTTGGGAAACTCTTAGTTGTTTTGCTTTGTTATTACCAATGCAGCACATGTCCCCTGCAGGAAACTTACGTTGGTGGTGGTATTTCTATATGAATTGTCATAGTTTATTTATCCAGCTCCTTTTTTGGACTTTTAGGCCAACAGTGTACATTTTTTTGTTTCTATAAATAATAAAACTGTGCATATCCTTTGTATTCACGTTACCTTTACCTACAAGTCTGATTGTATCCTTAGCATAAATTCCTAGATGTGGAAGTCCCAGGTCAAAGGGTACTGCAGGATTTTGATATCTGTTGCCAGAGGGCTGGAAGGCAAAGTGTAGAACTTTAGGTTCCAGGCAGTTTAAGGCAAGACGTGAAATGAGCTGAAATTGAGCTGTTGCCTGAAACTTGTTGCGTGCATCTCTCCACAGGTGGCCAAAGCTTTCTGGATGGCAATTGGGGGAGACAGAGATGAAATTGAAGGCCTATCTTCTGATGAAGAACACTAAATTATCCCTACTAGGTTTGACTCACAAAGATGCTAGCTTTCTACCTGGGATACTTCCTGCTCAACCCAGTAATATTTTGCTACAATTCCCATTCTCGTGTTGGCCACCTGACTTGTTTTTAGTCCCTTTAATTTTAGTATCTAATAGGAAGTTCAGGAGAATTCTTTTCTTCTTCAGTATGTGGGAAAGAGGAGTACAATAACAATAATTAGTGAGAATCTCTCAGATATACTTTTTTGTTCTAGGAATATCTGTGATTTGTCAAGTTTAAGAAGAAAACCGCTCAGCCTTTCCAAGCCAGGCTTTTCTGTAGCATCCCCAGCATTTACTCTTCATTGCCAGAGATCAGGGGCATATGCCATTTTCCCCACTCTAGGAGTTTACAGATCTGAGCTATGAAGCTTTTGGGAGGAGGAAAGTAGCATCTCCAGGTTGGATTTGTGCTATGGAAGGGGGGTGTGGGCAAAGTCAGTGGCCCACAGGTGTGTCTCTAATTAAAAAGGTGCTCTGGGCATCTCATTTGAGGCACAGTGTCTGAGCTCACACTACAATGAATTTAAAAAAACAGTTTAGAGACTATAAGGAATGAGGTCTCATGAAGATAAAACAGACCCGCCACCAAGTTTTTGTATGGAGTGGGGAGGTAAGAGAGAGACTCTTGTGGAATTCATGTGTGGGCTATGGAAACTATTCTCATGATGAGATTGTTGTGTTGGCATTATGAAGATACTTCTGTCTTACTCTTCTCCCTGCTACTTGAGATGCCAGGGCTGTGCCTTCACACTTTAAACCTTCAAAACAAGGAAGCATCCCCTTCTTCCTGTTTAAAAGACATCACTACCAAAGTAGCAACACCAGACGGTGGGTGAGGATGTGAAATATTAGGTCTTGCGTTCCTGAGCACCTTGTTTCACTCTCCAGCTTAATGGCTCCTCTGGGCCTTTGCAGGGTTACAGCCCTGAGAAAAAGCCCTGTTCTTTATCCTGACTCATTCAAACATGATTGATCACTGAAAGGAAAGTTTGAAAGAGAAAGTGGAAAATATAGCAAATAAAAATCCTTATTAAAAAAAATCCTTATAAGCATTGTAGAACCCCAAAGAGCTAGCACAAAGAATGGAATGCTGTAGGGGCCAGGCTAGAGCGACCATGGGGGAAACCTTGCAGTAACTGGAGAGTTCAATAAGAGGATCCAGGGAACAATGAAGGCTATCTTAGTAGCTTTTTTGTTTTGTTTTTTCTTTTCTTTTTTTTTTTAACTGTTCTGAAAGTCTTTTGAGTCCATGGTTCACCACCATCCCATCAGTGGGACTAATATTTCCTTGAGGTGACTGTGCTTCTTCAAGGTGATGTTTCTTTGAATTGATTGCATTAGCCATTAAGGATGAAAGGAAGTTGGCTTTGGGTTGCCAAAAATGTGGAATATGTTTTCTTAAAACATGGAAGATTTTAGAAAATGTTAAGACACATTGGTGAGGGGAAAACAGACTAGAAAAAACTGTGAACTTGATTTTGTGGATTAAACAAAGCCAGGTAATTAAAATAATCTATTTATAAAATGCTAATGTATGTTATTATGACTTGTTTTTCAGTAGGTGGTATGAGTGGGGAAAGCCTTCCATTCTTCATTGAGTTAGACATGGTGAAGAGTCTTAAGAGTTCATCAAGCTCATTATTTTGGAACCCATTGTGCCTGTGTATAATGTCTACTCATGCTTTTAAGACCTCAGCTCTCTGGGATATTGGCCCCTTATAGAGAACACATGGGATAAAGGTATCTAGTGGTATCTACTAATGGCTCATGTTCCAAAGAGTGATCATGAGCTAACAGTGCAGACACAACTACAGTCTAGCTAAAATGACGTCTTTGCATACCACCACAAGTTATAGACTTCCAGCCAGGATTTCGGAGGAGATATTGGGCTTTTTTACCCCTAAATATTTTTCTATTTGTGTGTAACAGTGTTTAGCACATATACACCCTTAATTTTATTTGGAAGGTTTGGTTCATGTTTGGTGAATATGATCACAAAGTTTGAAGATCCAAGAGTGTTGGAACTAGGTAGAGACAAGAATAAACTTTTCTTTTCCCCAAGAAAATCATGTGTTATGTAATAATTTTAGAGTGATGAAGACATAAGATATTTTTATAATTTAAAAATATGCTACCCTGCCAGAGCATGAGAAGATTGACAGAACCAATTTGCTTGCTCTCTATTTATAGAACTTGGCCACATCTGATTCAGAGAAGCAACAGATTCAGGGAAGCTGGACTTAGATGGCTGAGTAATATGGGATGTGGTTCAAGGACCAACAGGCCATTCTACAAATTACTTACAACATGTGAAATGTGATACATGGTTAATTTTATGTTCTCATTGTGAAGAGATGGGGATGAACATTTTTGCCATGGATCACTAGATTCCCTTAACCTTGGCCAATCTCTTTAACAATGGCCATTGAGAGAGCACATGAAGTGCCCCTTGCCCTGCTTTGGCCTGCCATGGAAAATGGTCTTAGGAGAATCACTGTCCAAGGGTAAGATGAGAGCTCTGTGAACTATTCTGAGCTTAAATGTTTGCTGATGCAAAACTATATTTAGCAAACACGTGTCTGGTGTGGTCAGGGGTTCTGATCCATTGAATGTTCTGATTGATGGAGACAGTTTCAATGAATGCTCTGATGAGTTAGATTTTTCCTTCACCTTTGCCCCATCTACAAAAGACAATTTAGCTATAGCATTATGTCATTATATACCAGTCAAATTAGAGGACTGTAGGTAGAGAAAGTAAAAACAATCTAGTCAAGAGTACTAAACCTAGTACTGTCTTAGCACAAGCTCATTTTGAAAACAGTGCCCTATTAACTTTTCCATAATTTGTATGTCTCGTAAAATGCTGAACATGCGGGGCAGAATTCTAATGTTTGATTTAGATTCCACTTGGGATTAGCATGGTGATCCATCCTTGCACCTTTGGCATCTAAGGTCTTTCAGAAAAGGTCTTCAGAATTCTCTTAAGTTTCATATTTTGACATTACCTGTGTCTGTTACTAACATTACAAGTCTTGCTCTTCCTGTAGACTCTTTACTTGGAGTTAAGTTCTTCTAGTATTAGAAGCATCTTGCTTGATTATAAGTTGCTCTTCAGACTTGCAGGATGAAGGATTAACAAAAAGGCAACAGCAATAGTTTGCATCTTTTCTCAGAGCATGACTGAGTCCCATTCCAGCTCCGTAGTGATTTACAGTTCTACTTTGTTTTCTTTTGGAAAAGTTTTGACTCAAAACCTGGCCCTAATGGGTATTACTGCATCTTTGGAACATGGGCTTGCGGGTAGAAGGAGAAAAGAAAAATTTTCTTCTAAAACCCTTCTGTGTTGATAGGCCAAACAGTCCTTCCTCACAACTACAAATCTGGAAGGCAAAAGCAGGTCACATGAAGCTGTTCATGCTCAGTTTGCTAAGGAGAAAGCCTTCTTGCTCCTCTCTTATGGAGGAGGCGGCCAATCATTGCCTCTGCCCTTTATGTTATCAACCATGTGCCTTTAATGTTACAAAAAAAAAAAAAAATGTGGGCTAAGTAAGGGCTGGGGCATGTACTTTATGGAAACAGCAGTGTAGTTTGGAAGACAGAAGACTCTTAATCTGAAGTTCAAGGGCATGGTCTGTACCAATTGTGCTTCCCCAGGAAATTCTCAAGAAGTCCATTAATGCCTGATGGATGACTAAACTACAGTTGGTACAGTTTGATGCCCTCAAACTTGTTCCTTCTACCCTGGTGAGGGCCGAAATTAGGATTCAGGGCCTAGCCAATGCTGTGAACCTTGCTTGCACCAGACTCGGAGTCAAGCATGAAAGAAGATACAGACCTTAGTAAAGGTGCAGTTCCTCTTGTCCAGGAGGTCAGAGTCTAATTCAGTGGAGTAGGGTCAAGCAGGACAATATCACAAGGACAAAACACCAAGCAGAAAGTAAAAAGTGCCATTTCTAGCCTTCGTTGCTGAGGGAAGGAGAGCAGAGCACAGAGTGCACCTTCAAGCAGTGGTTCTCAAAAATTAGCCCAGGTCAGGATCATCTACGGAGTCCCACCGCAGGGCTTCTGATTCAGTTGATCTGGGGTGGGGCCTGAGAATTTGCATTTCTGACACCTCAGGTGATACTGATGCTGCTGGTGTTGGGGCACACTTTGAAAACACTGATTTAGGGGAAATAATGCTTGAATTGAAAGGATACAAAAATTGGGGCAGATAGATAAAGGAGAAGCAGCAAAATTCTTAAGTTTGGCATGAACAGAGATATGGAAGGGGCATGTCCAAATAACCCAGGTAGTCCAATTAGTGAATTGTGGGAGTGTGCTGGAGAGGCCCCTGAAAGCCTGCCTTGTATGTTGTGTACCTGCTTGAGATGAGTGAGTTGCCAACTGTGTTTGAGCAGAGAAGGCATCCAACCATAATCCAGGAATATCCTGCACAGTTTTGTCACTATCTGCATAATTAATTAGCTGTGTTGAGGATTCTGAGGGTTAGACTGGACCTAGCATTGTGATTAGTGGTTTTTGCCATGGAGAGAGATACAGAGAATGGTGGTAATTTTGTCACATAGTTGTTAACCTGGATCAGAGGGAGACAAAATTTGGCATAGCTATAATAAAAGGTAATCAGGAACTGTATTTTGGTGATATTTCTATTATAATAGAATGGCACAGTAGAAACAGATGCGTAAGATATTGTTAAGGTAGAATCTACTAAATAGAGTACTGGTTGATTCATTTGTTCAGTAACAGTATTTGCTCCAAAGATGCTGGGACTACAGGAGTAAAATGTAAACCCTGTTCTCAAGAAACTCTCAGCTTAGACACAAATAACACAAGTGGAAGAGACTAGGATGATCAGTACTCGGGAGAGACTTCCTGGAGGAGAGGTTTGAAAGGCATCACAAAGCGATAGTCAAAGTTAGCAGGCTGGGCTGGTGGTGTTTATCAGAAACCCAAGGAGCAGGGGAGGGCGCTGGGAAGAGAGATTGATGTTCCAGGCAGAGGAAAGAACATGAGCAGTTGTGGAGAGAGGCAGACACAGAAGAACCATGAGTCGCTGGGCTGCAGGGATAAGGCAGGGAGTGATGAGAGCTACACAGGGACCGAGGAGGAAGGCCACATGTTCCATGGTCAGTTTGTGCTATGGACGGTGGTGTGAGGGAGGCATTTCTGGGGACAGAATTCTAATTTGGATATGAACTATCCCCCAAAGATCCATTTGTTAAAGTCTGGTCCCCATCTCATGATAATTGGGAGGTGGCACAGCCTTTTAGAGGTGGGGTGTAATGGAAGTTAGGTCCTTCATTGGGTGCCTACCCTTGAAGGGGATTTTGAGGTCTTGGCCCCTTCCTCTCTTTGCTTCGGGGTCACAGTGAGGTAAACAGCTCTTCATGCCACATACTCCTGCCTGATGCACTGAACCACCACAGGCCTAAAGTAACAGGACCAAGCAACCATGGGCTGAAAACCTCTGAAATGTGAGTCAAAATAAACCTTTTCCCTTATTAAGTTCATTGTCTTAGGTATTTTGTTACAGTAACAGAAAGCTAACAAAGGCAGTGTGAATTTGTAAAAATTCAGGCTGGAGGCGACGGGACCAGTTAGGAAGCTGGTCCAGTGGTCCAGGTGCTGAAGGACTTGCTGTAGAGCAGAGGAGAGCTCAGGGAGCAAGGCCAATTGGAGGTGGGAGCAAGGGAGCCAGAGACAACAGTGACTTCCTTCAGTACAGGCTAGGTGAATGGTCATGCCAAAAATGGGGGCAAAGTCCAGGGGACACAGATGGTTTAACAAAGGAAATGAATGTTTTGTGCTTGAGGTACATGTGTCACTTGTACATATCAGTAGCCAGCAGGTTTTCTGACATGAGTCTGAAGCTTTGGATTGGTGTTTGGTCTGTGAGTAGTGATGAGCAGTTTATGTGGCTTGAGATCATAGAGGCCAGGGAGCTCACTCAGGGACAAGTGTCAAGAGCACATACAGTGGTCTGGGAACACCAGATGAAGGAGGCAGCGGAGATGCTGGCCAAGAGAGTAGAGTTTAAGGGCCAAGGAGAACTGGGAAGTTTGGGGCAAGGCCTTTCCAGGGGAGTTTGCTCAGTCAGTGCGGCCTTAGCAAGGAGCAAGGAAGCTGTGAGGACCCCGGGAGGGGGAGGGCAGGCCTAAGAACCTGGAGGCAGGATGGAGGAACTGGGGCGGGCCCTGAGGAAACTGGTTCTGTTGGGGGAGGGGGGATGTGTGTTTTGGATCTGTTTTGGATCCCATGTAATGGGCTGTTGGAATTTATGATAGTATGGCTCAGCTGGAAGGTGCCAATCTGAGAGAAATATACATTTCGTAAAACCTTGGCGAAGGCCTTTTAGGGGTCTGGAGGGTGGGATAATCCCAAGGCAGGCATTTGATGCAGTTCACAGAGGACAAGTCTGCAAGCCCCTTGGTGCCCTTGCTGTGAAATGGCCTTCCTGGACTCTGGTGAGGTCCTAAGGTGGACTGCTGCAGAAGAGGTCACACTTGGGGATGATTCTGGCCCCATTTCTTCCTCTTCCCTCCAAATTCTGCTTATTCAAATTCATATTTAGACAAGGAAGAGATTTTGAAATTTCTTTTTTCTTGGGAGTTTAGAATTCAAAATGCATTCTCATAGATGCTAACAGTCATTTGAGCAGAAAGCATGGCAACCCCGTTACTTGTGAGTATGAAACTACCTGTGTGTCGATGGGAAGGCAAGTCTGGCAGCATTTAAGACACAGTGACAGTGCGGAAGAGGCAGAGTGGAAAGGACTAACAGAAGCGTGGGGTGCAGGGCTGGAGGCAATGGCTTCAGTCATGGCCAGGGGCCCTGCAGGTACCAGGGAAGTTAATGCAGATGCCACAGGGTCTCCTGCTGTCTCTCAAAGACTGGCAGGCCCTGGTGATGCCCTCAGTGAGTGAATGAGGGCAGCTGGGATTATCTGAGGACCACCTGGCACATTGGTGGTCAAAGTACATCTGGGTTTGCAGACATTTCCCTCTGATTGCCCTGGATGCTGAGGCCCCCAGGACCTCAGTGGGCTCTGTTAAATCTTCTCTTCACCCGGAGACAGCAGCAAGAATCAGACTGAGCTCCTGGCCTAGGAGCTTTTCAATGAAAAGTTTATTAGAAGGGCACTTACAAGAGGAAGGGAAGGGGAATGGACACGGATCTTTAACAATAGGGGTACAATGCTTAGAACAGGTGCTCTGCTTTTAAGATACAAAACTTAGAAAAATCTAAAACACTATAAATAGGTACATGCTTTTTACAAAGATATTAAAAGGTCAGGCTGGCTGAATAGTGAAGGTAATCAACATCCTCCACATTCTCGTCTTCACCCCGACACATGCCAACACAGGAGTCCAGAACAGCCTGTTGGCAGTGGCAGCAGTGCAGGCCTCCTGGATAAAAGTGGCTCCCTCTCTGGGTAGCGTCTTCACCCCAGGATCCCTGTGGAGGGCCTAGATTTGACTCAGAGCTGCCTGATTTTACACACTGTCACTTGTGCAGCCAGCCTCGCTTGGAGTTCTAGATGCTGAGCCAAAAAAGCCACTACACTCCTCAAGGCACCAACATTCAGAACTGGCTGTACCCAACTCTTCCAGCCACTGACCTCAGAAGGGAGAGGCCTTCGCAACTGTCTTAAAAAATTAAATAGTTATCTGTCTGAATGGTTTTAAGAAATTATTACATAAATATAAAAACACCAGAATGCTAGAGTATCCATTATTTCTGCATTAAAAAAACAAAAATCAATTACAGAATCACTGAGAATTTCTCACTCCAGTTTGCCCAAGAGGTGAGTTTCTTTTACATGACAGCTGTGTTTCTGAAGAGGTGCCTGTGTACCAAGTCATCCCCGCTGACTGACACCTCCCATCAGGGGTGCTACATCATCATGGTGACCCACATTCTCTTGAGTATGTTTCCTGCATTCCATCCACTCCAGGAAGTGGCCGATGCTCCTTAAGAGGGGGATGGACAATGTGAAGACTGTTACTTGAAGGGGTCCTACGGGGGAGCGTTGATGCCACAAAAAGAAAAATGGCACAACCTAGCTGTGCTAAGGTTTTCTTCTACTAAAAATGAGACACATGTACATTCTGAGAAAACACCCAACTCTAGCCACTTAAAGCACACTGTAAGAAACAGCGTCCGGAGCCAAGCTTGTGCCATCTCTGGCTACTAGTGGCCCCCTAGGTAAACAGTCCTGCGAGCAGCCTGCAGAGTCCTTTCCCAGCCTCTCCTTTTGAAGACTAGAGGGCACAATCATGAAGCCTCAGAAATGGCAGGTGGGGCTAAGAATGACAGCTCCCTGGACAACTTATGTCCATGCACAACATGCACACACTACTTAAAAGAAAACCTTCCTGTGGTTTGAGTAAAGGCATTCAGCCCTGGACTAGGTCCAGACTCTAGGAAGCCAAAGGGAGATGGAGAAAAACAGACTAAGCACACAATATGTGCTACAGCTCATTTCAATACATTAACAATTTAAAAAATAACTACGGTCAATTAAAAAAAAAAAAAAAACAGACCACATCAGGACAATGGGAAAGTCTGCCAGCAGCATTGCCCTCATGTGTTTTCTTCCCAAGAGTCAGAGTCCCTGCTCCTGACTCCAGGCTAGTCATAGGTGTCAGGTCCTCCAAAGCCTGCCAAGAAAGTGGCCAGCTGAGATGATGCGCCAGCACAGGCCTGTAGTCCAAACCGGCTGGGGCAGCTACCTGCGTGTGCACTGGAGGGTCTGTTACTGAATTAAGTGAGGAAGCAGAGAGTGGTGGGGAAGGAAAGGTGCTAAAAGCTGGCTCCTCGGGAGTGCTGCAGACACCGGATGCAGCTGGGGGACAGCACATGAGGTCATGTTGCCTGAGCAAACTACACTTAAAACTGCTGTCCGGCAGCCCTTCCCATGCCTCTGAAACTGCCCTGGTTTTCCTCTTGCCTCTTTCAGCTGTCCTTTTAAAAAAGTTTTTAAAATGTATAAATGTCATTCATATAAGATTTAAAACTAAGAAAACTAGTTTTGTGACTTAAGAAGGACACTAATATTACACATGCCCAAAGGACCTATTTGTGTTCCAGGATGGGAAAGGTACCATTCCCTGACATCCAAAAATGACCAAATTTATTTTCACGGATGCCAAAAGTAGATCTGCCTACAGTTTCCTCACATATCCTTTGGTGGTCTCTTAAGGAAAAGGGTCAAGAAAACAGCCTTTGGAAAAAAACACAAAACTCAAAACTTCATGCCAATTAGAAGCATCCATCAGATCTGAGCATTGAGGGTTCTAAGACGCCCTCCGAAATGCAGCCAATTATGACCAGCACATCACCAAGATTGTGTTACACCTAAAGCTGTCCCCAAGCACCTGGAGGACAACTGTGCCATAGGAAGCTCTTACGTAATAGGTGAGGAGTGCGAGCCTCAGAAACCACTGCCCGCAGCTTGCATGCGAGGGGCTGTGATTGCTCCAGCAGAAGCCAAAATGGAATATTCCTGCCCCGAGTTCTGAGCTGATCAGGAGCATGAAGGCACACACGGGAGGTTCAGAAGGCCTCGTGTGTGTGTGTGTATAGCAGTCTACAGACCACTTTTAGCCAAGCACAAATTCCATACCCACAGCATTTGCACCTATCTGAGGAAGTGAGAGGGTTTGTATTATCTCTGGGTTCTGTCAACACCCTTGTGGAAAGACTCACACAAGTGAGCAAGGTGTTCATTCCATCTCTTCCTGTGTCCTCATAAGGTGTAGGGAGCAGTTCTCCTAGATGGGAATCTCAAGACCATAGCTGCAGGGGCACTGGATCCTGCAGGTGAGATTCCAGGAAGTCCCCGACATCTTCAAGGAGCATGAGGAATTTCATCACATTTATGGTTTATGACCTGCCAAAAGTATACACTTTATTCCCTTCACCTAGAATAAGACAGGACTTCTATAGGAAATCCCCTCCCCCCTTTTTTTCCTGGTATAAATTCATGCAAAAATGTGGATAAGTCATTTCATATAAAAACAGCAGCAAAGAATAAAGTACCAATTGCAGGTGGCAATCCTGTGTCTGCTGTATTCTGCAAAAGGCCAGTAAAAGAATCTGTTTCGGTTTTTCTTTTTCCAGTTGAAATAATGTATACTAGTTTTCTACCTAATTGCCCTTGGGTGCTGTACTTAACACACAGCATCACTGCAATAGTTGTTACTGAGGGTTCTCTGCCACAAGCTACATAATATCACGTCCCAGGGCGAAGATGACAGATCTCTTTGCATCAAGCCTGCAATTTTCAAAGGTATAAAAAATTTTTAATAGCCCTTTTCATTTGCCTATGTTAGCCTGAGATTTTTCCCTTTTGGTGAATTTACTTCTGTAAATTTCAGCTTCCAAAAGTGCTGACAGGTGTCTCAACAGAACCTGGAAAAGCTTCACCTTGGGAGAGAAGTAGTTGTTGGGTCCCAGTCTGCTTTCCCAGTCGATATGCCTACCCAGGAACTTTTGTTTTTTAATATAAAACAAACATTTAAAAGAGCATATGATAAAGTTGGTTTAATTAATGCAACCGACTACATAAACCAACATAGCCGAATGCATCAGAATACGGCGCGAGACAACCGGGGATGCACTCGCGGTAGTGCTGCCTCAGCCCGAATGCCACTACATCCAACTGCCCTTTGCTTCATGTGAACACTTAATGTCATTCAAATCTCTTTGAGATTAATGTGATAATAGAAACTATACATTGCATACGCACTGAGACTCAGCAGATCCTCCCCACTTTTCCAAGTGAGGAAGGGCAAAAAAGTTTTTGAAGAGATGGGTCTCGTCAACTTTTCCCAGGGTCCCAGGAACACATTCTGCCGAACGTGCTTGCTCACACCAATCAGTGTGTTCTGAGAGGGGAGCCAGCCGGGCAAGCCCCTCCCCATGCGCAGTCAGCTCATCAGGTGCCCACTGCCAGCATGGTGGGGTATGGCTGGGAATGCTCTATCCGAGAGGCTCTTAATCAAAAGTGCCAGAGAAATGGAACACCTTCCAAGATGAATTCCACACCAAGCCCTGGGCAGAGAGGCTTTCCTGTTGGACTGTGACATCCCAGATCTCATTAAAAAAGGAGGTGGCTGCAGGAAGGGGCAGGTGGTGAAACACTACCTGTTGGCACAAGCCACTGGAGCAGAAGCCATTTCTTGCCCTTCACGCTGGAGCCTAGGGCATATGTGTTCAGCAGGTACAACTGTTCATAAAATCCATCACTGGGTTTGCTTCTGTGCTTTGGAAAACAGGTTGGTGCCACCTTGGTTGAGAGAGAAGATTTTCTTCCTTGACAAGAACGGGTTGAGGAGAGTTCTGATTTTCTCCTTTCTCCTCCATGGCCATTTTCCCCAAGCCCGCCCTCCCCTCCCCTCCCTCTTCACTCCCAGGGTCTCTAAGACACGCTGGAACAGCGGATGCTGGGGGAGCCCATCTGGGTGAGAACCTTGTCAAGCCACTGCAGAGGCCCATTCAGGTGCAGCTCAATCCAGCAGGGGGTGCTGGTCACTGTCTGTCTCCTGCAGGAACAGGGAAAGGGATGGGGGGGACTTAAAAAAAAGTCCACAAGGATACAAATATAAGTCAGAACATCTTTTTCTGCTTTGGTGACAAGTTAAACTCCTCCAACCAGGGAGGACTCAGTAACTCAGGTTTTTCTTTAGGGGACAAGGAGGGCCTTAAAGTGTTACACATGTAAGGTCAATTCCAGGGTACCCCAGAGGCTCACCAGGTACTGTGACAGGCCCCCCACTAGAGGACCTCCAGCCTGAGCAAAGGTCCCCCTGGCTCCCATCTGTGCCAGCTGGGCACCTGCAGCTCCCGGTCTCCAGACCAGGCCCAGCCCCAACAGGCTGCAATGACGTGTGTCTGTCTGGTGGAGGGGTGTTTTGTATGAAGTGCCGACTGAGTCCACATGCCTTCAGTTCCCAATGTGCTGATATAATTCCCATCTACGGCCTTATTTTGGAAAATCTTACGAGTAGAGCTAGCCATGAAACAATTACTGGAAAAAACCAAGGCACGCCACACGTTTCTTTTCCCCAAAGTACTTTGTCTAAATTCAGGCTGGCGGATGACGCAGCTCATAGGCGAAGTCCCAAAGGCCTCTGCTGAGCAGAGGCTATCTGCTGAGGCTGGAGTTATGGGTGCCAGCTGGAGGTAAGAAGACTGGGTCCTGCTTTCGGCCTCCTCACAGACACGGTCTGAAACCTTACTCTCCTTGGCCCACGAGGCAGGAGGACAAAGCTGTTCTGGGAAGGGGCCGCACCCGTCCGTTGGGCTGTGGTGCGTGCTGCCAGGCGGCGGTGACGCAGTGGGCTGCACAGGACTGGGAGTGCTGGCAGAACTTCCTGCACAGTGATACAGTGCCCCCAGGGAAAGGCTTCCGCCACCATGGAGCCTCTGCCTGGCCCTCAGCTGGAGGACCATGGTGCCACACCACATCAGGTCCACTGTCCTGAGGGCCACCCTCCTTGCTTGTTGGGCTTCACCTGAGACAGGCCTGCAACCTGGCCCTGGGGTGTCTGCTTGGTCAAGGGCACCTGAGTGTGGTCCCTGGGTTAGAATCTGGGTGTAAGAAGAGCCAGTGGACTTCCCCTGGCTCTTTTCCATTTGGGTCCATCTTTAAATATTTCCCTTTCCCACTAAAAACATTAATTTTCTAACCTTTCACTCTCATTCCCTAAGTGATCTTAGCCAGGGCTGAAAGGTTCGATAAAACATTTCTCCAACGGGACCTCTGGGCCTGGGCTAATCTCTCTAGTTCTTCATAACATGGTCATAAGTCCTCCCAAGGGCTGACAACCTCACCCCCTTGGTGGTTCCCTGGATTTTACAAAGACTGCAGGGATGAAGGTACGGTGTTCCCTGGCACTCTGGGGCAGACGCAGAAGAACAGCAGCTAAAACTACGGTAACTGGAGGAGGTGGATTTTACAGAGCAAAACCCTCTAATGAGAATCTGACTTTCCATAAGTCATGCTCATCAGGATTTCATTATAAACCGTGGCTCAGAGCCAGCACTGAAATGGGTTTGGCTGGGGTGCAGAATGACTGCAAAACAAAGTAGATTCCAAACATCTGGAAAAATGAAGAGAAGGGAGAGTAGCTTGCAAGGCGCTGACTCCAGCTGACATGTGGCACCTCTGCGTCTGTGCGCAGGAGCCGGGGGCTGGGCGGGGTGTGCAGCAGGGGGCACGCAGCCCTGCCTGTCAGGAAATCCCTGCCAGGTGTGGGGGGAGAAGGGGTGGATTCCAGGGAAACCCAACCCAGGATGGTCTGAGGGACTCGAGTAGGCAGAGTAGGCCGACCTGTTAATCAGTACCATATTCAGACCTGTATGTAGGATTCTTAAAAATTACGTCCATGCACAGTAAACTCTTGTAACCATGCAGATCTCCTCCCTCCTTCCTTGATTCTCCTAGATGTTCAGAGTCACCAGCGTCCCCAAGTTCAGAGAGGGAGCCACAGGTGGGAGACCCTTGGGTGAAGGAAACCATCTGCCCCAAGGACTGAGGATGAGTGGCCACGCACAGCTCTAGGCTCAGCTTCCCTCTGATGAAGTGACTTCAGGCAAGTCATTCGTCTTCCCTAGGCCTTAGTTCCCTCATCTGTGCAACAGGGATGATGCCTGTGTCCTCACCCAGGGTTGTGGAAAGGACAAAATGGGACATGTCTGTTGACAGCACTCGAGAAACTGCTCAGTGCGAGGCCAGTGCTGTCCTGCTCTTCCGGTTGTCTAGGAATGTCTCTGCCCCTCCCGCCCGCCGGGCTGTGGCCTCCCTGATCTGTGGTCTCTGCTCTGGGGTGTGACATCTGGCCTTGCTCATCTCCAAGGAGCCTCTGCTCTGCTGTTCTGGGTTGCCCGTGTTGGTCCCCACTGACCTGTACTCTGCTCCCCAGCCTTTGACGAAGCTCATGCGGATGGTGCACATTCGAGTCAACTGGTAGACAGCCTCGAAGCCCTGGTTGACAGACTGAGCCAAGAGGGCGGCGAACTCCTGGTTGTTGAAGATCTTCAGGTTGCATCCTGCCCAAAACGACAGTGCCGCTGGGAACAGAGGCCTGTACACGCCCGCTGCTCCCCTCCCGGCTAAAGCAATCCCGGATCACTCGGCTCAAGTGGCACCTGGTCATCTGAGGCATTAGCCGCATACTCCATGCTTGGCACCATGCCACAGATGGGCCTACCCAGTGCCTCCTCTCAAATCTGTCACCACCTCACTGAGGATGTGCAGCTGATGTGCAGGAGGGAAAATCAAAGGCTGGCCCACAAGCTCCGCCCCCTCCAGCTGTGGGGATGCTGAGGACCCAGGGCATAGTTTGGAGAGGCAAAGGGGCCAAGGCCTTCCAGGAAAAAGAGAGGAAAGGGACCTGAGCCTAGATGCCCATGCTGCCCCGGGCATGATCACCCCCCTGGGCCCTGGAGCTCTCACGTTGGTGGAGGAGCAGGGCGGGCCAGCAGAAAAGCCAGCTGCAAGCTGCGGGACCTGACACCCCGTAGGAAGCTCAGCAGAAGGTCGAGACACTGTCCACCTAGACTCTTCTGACGGATCTGCCTCATTCTGGGGCCAGGAAAGGGGAGAGATCTGGGTCACACTTTGGCCTCTGGGCACAGACTGGGTCGAGGTGACATTCCCAGCAAAGTGAAGGTGTGTGTCTAATTCTCCAGACAGTAAAACTAGAGACAGGCACAAATAAAGTTTAAAATAAACCTCCCACTGCCTGAGTGCCAAGAATGCGTCAACCAGAAAAATAAAGACCAACGCACACGCCAGAATAACCGAAAGGTGAGGCGAGGTGACACCTAGGAGTGGGCCAGCACCAGCGCCCGATCTTGCTGCATGTCTCTGGGCCAGTCACCTTCTCTTTGGAACCTTGTGTCTTTAAAATGGGGGTTCACTGGAGGTTGTCCCTGTTGTGATGTTCTGTGAGCTGACAGGGTCCACTTGGCCCTCACCAAAAAGATGGGGGAAGCCAGGGAAGGAGTGGGCAGAATGCCGGGAATGTCACTGATCTTCCTCTCCTTCCCCTTCTCCAGGGGACATGTGCTGGATCAGGGCTGAGACTGCTCTCCAGCCCCCATCCCCACTCTCTACCCTGCAGAGCTGAGAAACAGAAGAGCACTAGGCGAGAGTCAGCTAGTCTTAGGCTCATCCAGCTTGGCTCCTTCCTAGCTGTGTGTCCTTGGGCAGTTAGCTTAACCCCTCTGAACTTATTTCCTTAACTGCCTTATTAGTAGAGCCAGAGTAACTGGAGAAGATTAAATGAGATCAGATATAAAAATGAACTCTGTAAATGCAACCACAAAAATGCTCGGGAAGTGGGCCACTGTTAAAATTTCAGGTTTTCTGCATTTTAAGTGTATCTTGCTCAGGTCCACTGTCATCTTCTACTCAGCAAGCAGGAAGAGACATGCCACCCATGTGCCATGGGCAATGACCTGGCCCAGGCCACATGCTCTAGCAGCTAGTCACAGCCCACAGCCTTTGGTGCCTGTAGTGTGAGAAGTGGGCTTTGGCTGGGCTTCCACTGGGATATTTGAAGTAAAGAGGCCTTGGGGCAGGACAGGGGGCAGAGCAGCCTCCTACCTGACCTTGCTGTCCAAACTCCACTCTGCCTAAACCATCTTACAGGGTGTGGCCTCACACACATGCTCAGGGTCCAGGTAGATTCATCAGCCTCGCTGAGAAAACCCTCAACAGTTCCACAGGATAAAACTGAAACTTTCCTCCCATCTTCCCATGGCCCAGTCCCACCAAGTTCTTCAAACATTTCCTTCTTTTACACAACCCCTCCTCCAATCAGAGTGTCCCCTAAGTGTCCTGCCTTGCATCACCTCCATGCCTCTGCCTGCAGTGCCCTCCAGGGCTCCAGCCACCATCCTGTGCCTATCCCAATGGTTAAACCACCCTCTCCCCAGGTGCTGGGCACCCTCCCCTGCGTTAGACTCTTCTGTCTCTATCATACACACCTCACAGGTCTGCAGACAGGTAGCCCAGGGGAAAGGCAGATGTCCTTCATGCTGCCTCTGCTCCCTGGAGGACCAGGGAGAGCACAGGAAGACGTGGGCATGGAGAGAGCCCAGCCAAACACCTCCATGCTGACAGGGCGGACCCCGATGAGGAAACACGGCTGGAAAGAGGGACTCTCCAGCACCCTGGATGTGCCATCAAGATGGGCACCACATTGGGGAGGCTTACCTGGTGGGATCTTGCAGACGGTGGCTGGATGCCAACCGTAGCGCTGGTTACAGTTGGGAGACTGGACGAAGATGGCGCTGTCGCTGAGGCACTCTGCGAAGACCTCCCCTCCGATGTAGTAGAGCCTCACACCTCGCCCTGGAGATGTGGGGAGATGGGATCAGGAGCCTGTGCCCACACCGCAGCCCCAGGGCCAGTGGAGATTGGCAAAGAGGACTGAGCTGCAGTGGCTGCCCCAAGGGACTGCCAGCTCCCTTCACCATGGGACCCAGAGCCCAACTTGAAACCCAAGTAGAGAAATCACAAGTGACCCTGGATTTCTAAAGGGGGGGAGGCAGAGAAATAAGAGCCCGTGATAACCTCAGTGACAGTTTCTGCCACTGGCTAGCCATAGGTCTCAGTCACATTACCCCACCTGGGGGCTGAGCTCCTCTAGAAAACGGGTAGCTGCTGTGCCTGGTGAGTGACAGCTGCTGTCCCCCCTCTGACCACACCACCACTCTGCTCCCTCCTTGCCCCAAGATTCAGAGGGTCACTCGTAAACCTGCCAGGCTCCTGAGGCAGCAGACCCTCTGGGAGCCCTCTGCTGCAGGAATGGTGTGACGCCATCCCTCTCGGCGTGTTTCTGAAGGAGACCACAGGGTCACATCATTTACTTTTCCTTCATCTCTTAAATCCACTCCAGATGGACAGAAATTATTTTTAAATTGCTTCTGCAGTTCCAACAGTTAGATAAACACTCCGACAAGGAGCTCTCTGCTCAGCCAGGGGATGCGCCCTTATGCTCGGGAAATTCTCTGCTCCGCTCCTGAGGAGGAGGCCCAGAGGGCCAGAGAGGCAGCCAGGTTTTCCAGGCCCAATGGCAGGTGGGTGGAAACCAGGCGACCGACCTGTATACCATTCCATGTCCCTGTTCCTGCCTCTAATCCCCACTACTCCCATTTCCTCTCATCTGGGCCCTACAGGACTGTGTGCTTGGGGCCCAGAGTCCACAAGGAAGGGCAAGAGCACAAGGAAGGCAGCCAGGATGGGAGTGGAGAGATCCGGGCCAAGAGACCGCATGCCCTAGCCCGCGGCCTGCAAGCTCTTCTCTCCACTACAGAACTTCTTTTCAAGCCAATCTGAGAGAGAGCTCAGAGGAAGCCAGCAAGAGCAGAGGTACCCTGGGGCAGGTGGGGACAATGGCCCTTGCTGCTGCCCCTGCCAAGCTCCTGAGTTTGTCCGCAGAGCCTCTTGGCCAGCCCTTGGGGCTTCAGGATGATGGCTGAGGATGTCCTACCACATCATCTCCGCAGCCCTTCTGGGGGGCAGCAGTCTGTGACCCTGGATGGTAAAACCATGACTGTACTTAGCGTAACCTCCCACGGGAACCAAGACCATGCGGCTGTGTCTTCCCTGAACCCACAATGCTCCTCTCCTGGTGCTGGAACACAGCACGCTAGTAGTTGTATTTGAGTTGTGGACATTTCTTGTCTTTGAACCTTTTTGAAATTATCTAGAATATTCACATAAGAAATTTAACAAATGAAAAAAACCCTCCTCCAATAACGACCACCTACTTATCAACCTAGCTGTACCTCAAGGGATATTTATTAAAAGATTCGTACACGTTAACCTTCCCCACAGACTTCCTTGTCCCCTAAATGAGGTGTTCTCCTCCTTGGCTTCTGAGTTTTCAGAGATTATCTGCATCTCTGGGTGGAAATGAATTGAACTCCAAGGAGACTGAACCCTAGCTGTCTGGCCTCTACATGGAGCAAGAGGAGGATCTGGGGGCCAGGATGGATGAGTGAGTCCTATCCCCACATCCCAGCAGGAGGCTGAGCACAGCCAGGGGAGGCATGCAGAGGCTGCTCTGGGCCAGAGGTGGGGACAGCATGGCCACCCCATTACCGATGTGCCTCCGTGTGAGCTCCACGGCAGCGTTCCTGTTGACATTGGACAGTAGGCCTAGGCAGAAGCGCTCGGAGTTGGAGGGGTCAGTGAAGCCGTCCACCGTCATGGATGGCTGCGAGGCATGGAATGTCTCCCCGACACGCTGGTTCAGCTCGTAGTAGGAGATGGAGCACCAGAAGGCTGGCTCGCAGTAGGTGACTGGCTGCAGGTCTGCAGAGACAGAAGCCTCGGGTCAGGGCCTCAGGCCCCCTGCTCCCAGGGCCATCTGGTTATTCAGGGTGTATCTAGGAGCTGCTGCCTGTGAGCATCCTGATGATCCAACCCGACCATGAGGCCCAGAGCCCATCCCTCCTCCCTTGCCTTAGCCCTTTGGCTCTGATGGGAGAAGCAAGATGGCTGGCTATGCCCAGGTCCCAGCACTGGCCTGAGAACCCCACCCACTGTCTGTCTGGCAACTTGTGGGATCCAACAGATCTCGAAAGGTGCTAAGCCTTAGAGAAAAATCAGAAGCAGTGCTGCCCACAGGGAAGAGCCTGGGTGACCTCTGCCGACAGAGAGGCCCTGAGCTTCAGGAGTCCAGGCACACAGTCCCTTCTATAGGTGAAGGGACCTGAAGAAGAGATGCAGACCATTGCCAGCCCTGCCCGTCACATACTCAGAAAGTGCCCGCTGGAGGATACCCCCAGACTGGGCTCCTCGGCCTCAGCACCACTGACATTTGGGGCCAGACTGCTGTTTGGAGAAAGGGGGCTCCAAATGTCACAAGGTGTTTAGTGCCCTTCTGGCCCTTCCCATGAGATGCCAGTACCATACATCCCCCTCCCCCTCCCAAGAGGTGACAATAAAAAATGTCTCCAGGCACTGCCAGCTGCTTTGCAAGGGGTAAAACTGCCCTGGATGCTTGGCCAGGTCACGGAGCAGTGCAGGCCCTCTCTCTGAGCCCCAGTTCCCACCGTGCCTTGGTCTGGGTGCAGAAGCCTCTTTACCACCAGGGCTGTGAGTGGGTGTGCCAAGCTAGCTCACGGAGGGGCAGGCACATGTCAGGCACTCAATGTGAGGTGTCAAGAATTGCCCACCCTCCACCTCTGGAGTGGCAGAGCACCCTTGCCCTTCTAGGCAGGGAGCAAGGGAAGATGAGGTTGAAGGCAGAGGTCTAAGCTGCCTAATGGGGAAGGGAGGAATGACGAGGCAGGGGCATCTGTGGCCTGTGCCCTGGCTCCTGAGGTCGGGCTGAGACACGTCAGCCACATCCGGCTCTGGCTTTGCTGGATGCTTCAGCATTCCAATGAGATAAGCGATATTCTAAACACTGTGGTCACTAAAATGTAAGCTATGTTGCTTTGGAAACTTCAAAAAGAAAAGAAATCCAAGTGCAATCCAAGCATGCAAAGTGGTCAGGCAACACGTCAGGGCTTCTGGCTGCCCAGGTGCAGGCTCTGCTGACCTTGCTGTGTGAACTTGGGTACATGACTGCCCTCTGTGGCTCAGTTTCCTAGTCTGTACAATGGCTAGTGCACCAGAAGACACCCACAGCAAACTATCTAGGTCACTGTGCTTCTGGCAGGGGTCGGCCTGAATAGGCAGCTTTGGCTGATCTGGGCCAAACTTTTGGCTGATCTCAGCAACGTGGAGAACAGCACACAGGCCTCACCTCCAAGGCATAAAGCCCTGCCCAGAATTCCCCGGGCCTGGTACAGGTAAAAAGAGACCAAGCTAGGTTCCCAGAGACAGTGACACCCCACAGCCAAAACGAGCAGGCAGTGTATCCCCTGCAGAACATGGTCCCAAACCAGGCTCCGGGAAGCGTGGGCTTCGCGGAGTCTGAGTCCAAGAGGCCCTCCAAGCAGATCTGAGCCCTTCAAGTTGCTGACACACTGGACACATCAGTAGGAAGATTCTGGTTTGGGGAAGTGGTGTCATTAAACCAGTGTCAAAGTTTTGAGGGTTTCCATTTAAAAAAAGTGCTATTTGATCAGGAGCAGGGCAGAGCCAGAGCATGGTCCTGCCATGTGCTTGCTTTTCTCTGCAAACAACTGAAAGATGCCCCTGCCTTCCATCCTCCACTCCCATCAGCTCCCAGCTGCTTCCTAAAGGCAATTCTGCAAGAGAAGCCATGGACACAAAAGTATGGCAACCACCTCTGGGTTCTTCCTTCAATAGAACTTTATTTTTTAAACTATATATTGCCCTTGTTTCTTTTCCACCAAAGGCTTTATCCACATCATGCTAAGTATGAGAAATACAAAGTCTGGACTCTGGAAAGGAAAAAGCTATGACTGGGATGACCATAAAGTTACTTATAGTCACTGAAAGAACACTAGGCCCTGAGCTTCCTAGCAGCCAAAGTGAAAAGAGAACATAACCTGTTACATGGCTCTGGTTGACAAATGCACAATGCTTACTAGTTCCCCAAGAAAAACAAAACTTGTCCTGGCATGAAATCTTAAAGGTCATCTCTCAGGGGTAGGTGGCAATCCCTCTCCCATACCAAACAAGCCAGCAGGCCCTGGTTTCAAGAGTTTAGATGCAGAAGCAGTTCTACATGTAAGACACTATTGGAAGGCTCCTCTGGGAAAATACCTATGAGGGGGTTCAGTGATGTGCCCCTTGGAGGGCAGTTTTGCTTCTCCAGGCCAAGGAGAAGCCTAGAGTGGTAGAGGAAGTCACGGGTCAAGGCCTTGCCTTCAAGCAGTGCTGCTCACGGCCACACTGCCTCATCTGTGAACCTCCCTTCCCAGAGCAGAGGTGTCCGGGATGCAGGACCCTCCAGCTCCAGCCACCCTGCCGCCACCCCCCGTGGAGCGTCAGCCAGACTTCTCGGGTAGCATGGGGCACGGTGCTTAATTCTCAGCTGGCCCCCTGCCAGGCTAACGCGTTGGCTGGCTTCAGGTTTGAGCCTTGTTCCAAGCTGGCATAGACGTTCTGTTTTGTTTAAGGAAAAGAAAACAGAATAAAACCCAAAAGGCAACGCTCAGATTAAGGGATGCCTATTAAAAACATGTGCAAAAGATTCAGATCCGGTAAAGGGAAAGGTGGGGGAGGGGCAGGGAGTTAACTCTCTACTGCAGGGGAAAGCTGCAAATGGGCAACAGCCAGGCCAGCTGGCACCACAAGGCTCAAGGTCAAAACAAGTGGACTGGCCACATCTGGGTCTCTTCACCTGCAGAAGACAGCTCTGCCTCCGTCCGGGAGAGTCCACACTCCAGTCCCACACCCATCCTGCTGCATCTCCCAATCTGCTGTTCCCTCTCCCTGGACGGCCCTTCCCCTCCGTCTGCACGGACCTGACCTGGAAGGCCCAGCGAGTGTGCCCGAAACATTCCCTCCATGCGGAATGGCCCTCGTGTCCCAGCCTCCTGGGTAAGGAGTCGGCTGCATAGTGGGTTAGCGCCCTGCAGGCCCAGGCCAGCTATGTCCCCAGCATCCAGGGCAGCAATTCTGACCTCTCTCCAAGGATCAGAGCAACAACCAATTGTGCACAGAAAGAACCCCGCGTTCTTGATCCTGCAACCCAACTACCACCATTCCTGGTGGTAAAGTCTAAGCCGGACCCTGGGGAGGGTGACTTCCTGTCATCACGTGGCCTGCATGTGATTTCGCAAGCTTAGGGAAGACTGGAGCCAGAGGCAGCCCTAGGAAAACGGCTTGTGCAGCAGCATGAGGACACCTGGCACCAGATCATTGTGACCTGGACCCCTGTCCTTTTCTCCAGGGCTGGTGGCCTTCCACTTTCCAGCAGCCCTGCCACCCACCCCTGCCTCTGTCTCCTGGCAGAGAGGAAGGCTCATTCTGCCTGCGGCACTCTGGGAAACCATCCCCTCCTTAAACTCCAGCTCGACCTCTCCCAGGACACTCCCTGGGACCTCATTTTCCTCAGTCAAGCCGCTCCCTGAAAGTCTCACTTTAACGCAGGGAACAACTTACTCACCCAGCAGGACCCAGCGCGTTACCTTTCTCCTCTCCCTCCATCTCCATCTGCCCCAATCCTACCGACCCAAATGCCCAGGAAACTCCAGGTGACTCACCAAGCACAACACGTACTCAGAGAAACGTCACCTGCTCCTGTCCCTTTCCCTGCAAAACAAAGCTCCTGGGCTCCAGATGCCCAGCGGGGCCTCCTCTGCCTGGGGGCTCCTCCTCCAGTCACCAGGCCACGGCTCCTTGCCAGAAGTGGCTTTACTGTGGCAGGACACTCAGTCTTCCCCAGACCTAAGCCCAGGACCCATGCCTGGAGGGGGAGGAAATCAAAGAAGCCGGAAGTCCTTTCATCCTTGTTGTATAATAATTTTGTAATAATTTCTTTAAAGGACATACTGAGGTCCAGGTCACAGACGCATCCCGCCTCCTGCCTGGGGAGGAGACCTCACTCGTCCTAGTGCACACTGGCCAATGCAGCCTGTGGATCCAGGCTCAAGACCGGCTCCCAGACACCCGCCCCTGCCAGCCACATTTCCCTAAAGCATGCGTCCCTCCCAGCTGCCTCGCAGCAGCGGCTGCCACAGGGACTTTGTGCTTTTCCTCCAGTAATTCCCCCCAGCAGTTCCACTGTGGAGGGTGATAAACCCCTCACCATCTGGAGCCCACCACCAACTTCATTCTGTAGGCAGGAGGGCCAAGGGGACATCACGAGCCCTTTCAGCCTCATCTTTCCCAAGTCCCCCAATGTGCCACCCAGCACAGTGCCAGTTGTCCTTGAACACATCCTGCCCTCCCATCTGAAGGTCTCTCCCTCCACTTGGCCTCATAGTAGCCCCCTGTCCTTCAAGTTCATGCTCACATGTGTCACATGGCTCAAGTGGTCCTAGCCCATCATATTTTCCTCCTGGCACACACAATCCCCTTCCTCTGCACTTGCTCCCTTGGCACCTGGAGCAAGGTATCACAGGTAAACATGGATCCCTGGCCACCCCAGCAGGCTGTGAATGCCCAAATGTCGCCCCCACTCTGGACCCCAGCATTCATGAACACTAGGAACTTGGCAAATGCTGAGGATAGGATATTCCTGGTCAGACATCCCCACGAAGGCCCTGGTGTTGACCTCTGAACACTCCCAGTACTTTCATCTGCATTTACCTCTTGTTTTATAATTAATTATAATCCCAACTTATCAATCCCAACAAGGCCATTGACCTTGACAACAGGGTCTAGGATTCTCCCTTTGGTCCCCCCACCTGGACAGGCACATGGTGACCAGACGGAAGTACCTGGGGAATGAACGAGGAAGACAGGCAAGCTGGCAGGGCTCCTACCCGGGGACCATAGCCTGTTGCCTGTCCCTTCTGGAACCTTATTCTCTGAGTGAGGCAGGTGGGGACAGCTGGTCCAAATGGTCCAGCAAGGCAGAGTCCTGCTGCCATGGTGGACATGCTATGGATCAAGGAGGATCGAGGATGAACGAGTCCACCCTATTCTATGATATCCTAATTTATAAAATTAAAAGTTAAGAGTATGCCTCACAGAGTTGTTATGAAGATTAACACTCATGAAGCAGTTGAATAGCAATAAACAGAAGTTCTCAGGAAATGCCAGCCATCGTCACCATCACCCTCACCTCACCCCTTCCCACTGTGGTGCCTCGAATCTGTGACAGCTCTCAGGTAGGTTCTGAATGGAAAAGTGGGCGCAGGGGCTCATCCAGCAGAGAGGAGGCTGGGCCTGCCGGCACCAGTGTCTCGCCCTGGTCCTGCTCTTGACTTGCTGGCTGATTCGTTCCGATTCAGACCTTCCTGGCAGGCGAGTAACTAGGCCAGTATGAGTGGCCTCCATGCTCCATGGGCCAGCTCAGGGATGTTCCTGCCTTTGTCAGAAATGACCTAAGAATCATCCACTCTCAGATAAGCATGTGAAGAAGGGGCAAGGGTCCAAGCTTCACTCACCCCTCATCCTAGACTCCATGATCTAAGGGTGGTCCCTGCTAAATGCCACCTGGGACAGCTTGCTAAACGGCTGAGCTGGGCAGCGGCCACCTCCAACCTGCCCTGTGACCTCTGGTTTCAAAGCCAAGTGCTGACCCCAGAGTCTGTTGGCTGAATGTGCTGCCTTGACCATAGTAGGGTGAACAGAAAATAAATCTAAACCAGCTCATCTCAAAAGCTGAAAGCCAGAGTTAAGTGTGCAGTCATGGCCTTTAGTTTCTCGAGTGTTCCCATGGCTTCGGGCCTCCTGAGTTTGTTTTTAAGAACTCAGTTCTTTCCTATCAGGAACATGACCTTCCCTCTGCAAAGCCCAGTGCTCACAGTGAGATGTTAAAACAGATCCCCCAAAGTCACATGTCACTCTGCCCACATGGTAGCTTGTTTAAAGTGCTCCCAAGCACCTCCCAATATTCCAAATGATGAATTTTATCTGACACTCTCGGTCAAGGTCTGAAAACAAGCGGGCCCCAAAGCCAGTCCAGTGCACTCTGATTCACCACATGTGGACATTAACCATTGCTCTTCCTGAGCCACAGAGTAAGTTCCAGCAATAAAGCTTCAAACGAAACCCAAATCACATTTTCTAACACTACCAGCTCAGAAGACCAGAAACTCTCCTCCATAAAAATGACACAGACGTTTCCTTTGTTTTGAGCCCGTTGAAATAGGCTCCACGCTGAAGCCACAAGGACTCCAGAAGCCTGTCCCAGCCTGGAGAACTGAAGGACACTGCCGGGGCTGGCAGAGTGACCCTTAGAAACACTGAGCCAGAAGCCCAACAATCCAGGGGTGTTGGGGAAATGAGGGGCCAGCTGCTCAAAAACATCATGAGGTAATGCAGAGTGGTAAACTAGGCATCTAAATATGGAAACACGTTTGCACAACAACAGAGAAGACAGGAAGGCACGAGTACATACATGCTGGATCCCAGACAGCTGGCTGGTGGGATCATGGGCATAACTCCCCACCCCTGCTTATACGTTGCTGTTTTAATAAAAAGATAAATTATAGCAAGATGAAATATTCAGATAAAGTCCACATGCGTGTATCTGAAGCAAGTCTGTGAACGCCGGTGGGTGGAGTTGCATAGCCGCCGTGGCTTTGCACCAAACCACACGTATGTGCTTGGCTCACCACAGACCCTCATCTCCTGGGCCTAAGCTCTGGGGGATTTTCATTCACTCACGTCTGACCGCCACTCAGGTGAAATACAAACCCGGCACATGGTTGCCTTTTCTGCCACCACTGTCTCAGGTTTCCACGTTCTGAGGTGACCTGAGTCACTATAACCAGAAACCTGAGCGGCTAAGCTGGGCAGATGGTGGGGTGAGGGGCTGGGAGCCCCACCTTCAGTGTAGCAGCCAGGGGGGGGTTCCAGGCATGGGACAGAGATACTTACCCAGGTTATTGTGTGCTGGGGACATCGGATTTGGGGACAGATTTGGAGAACCTGAAAGGTGAGACACAGTGATAAGACTTAATAAAAGATCCTATGGGGAGAGCCCAGACTGAGCGCCAAGTCCCAGAAGGTGACCTAACCTCATGCCCTGGCCCATACTGCCCGCCCTGGGCCCCAGTTTCTCCACTGGTGGAACAAGGGTTGATGGGGTGATGATCTCAGAGGCCTCCTCCACACAGATGGTTTTAGGACCCTAACCAATGCTCCAGCACTGGCGTACTGCCTTCTCAACTAGGGTAGGTGGCATCTTTTTCTTCAGCTTACATGACCTTCCTGTTACCTATGCTTCCAGGAAAATAAGAGGAGCCTGAAGCCATGCCCACAGCCCCAGGTGGTGGAAGGCCGGCCTCCCACCCCAGGTGACCCAGGCATCCCCAGTTCTGCTCTCAGTCCTTTAGGCTCAGGAAATGCCAATCTTAGGACACTGACAGGTCCTGCCTCAGAAATCCTGAGCTAGATTGACCTTCTGTGCAAGACAGGAGAGTGCGCGTAGGGAAAGGCCAGTTCCTCCTAATTCATATTCTGACTTTTTTCTCCATCCCAGAGCCCCCTTCAAAGAAATCCAGTCGCTGCCCCTTCACAGAGCACCGTCCTGCTTGTCCCCTTTGTTCCTGTATGGTTGAGGCTACAGCAGTTACTGATTTCCTAATATCCCTGGGGGATAGATTTCCAGACCCCCGAACCAGGCCTGGAGGCTGTCCTTGCACCTGGCCTCAAGCACATGCTTTCTCAAGCTGCCTCTAGAGGTCTTTTATTTCAACCCAATGAGCTGTAACCTCCTTGAGGGCAAGGGATGAGCCACAGGGTTCTTCTCCAGGGTGGTACCTAATCCAAATGGAGACACTGAACAAATCACTGGAAGATCAACATTTCAAAGTCAGTCATGGGGTTTGGACACACCACCATGTACCAGCCGTGTGACTTTGGCAAAGTCCTTTAACCTTCTAAGACTTCATGTTCCCTGGGTGTGAAGTAGGGATAATATCATCTACTGGGTGACATGTAAACACGGAGATCGTGCATATCAAAATGCTCATGCCATGATTGGCACACGGTAGGCACTTAATAAATGTTCATTTCTAATTTGTGGTGGCCTGAAGGCTGTGGGACCTTCTCACTGCTCTGAAAGGTGCCCACGCTGGCCAGGGGAGACCCGTGGTGAACAGGTAACCTGCTGGCCTGAGACACTGCCATGCCTCACACAGGAGGGAAGTCAAGCCCTGAGCAACTGAACTGGGACCCAAATGGGGAACTCTGAGGAAGAAGAGAGAATAAATAGGAGCCCTCTACCCAACCACGCACAGGCTGGCCCGGGGCCACAAAAGCTAGTGTCACCTTTAGATACATCACTATAGTGCCATGTGGGCAGAGGAGAGAAAAAAAGAAGGAACACAGAAAGGGGGCAGAAGGGAAGAGAAACCAGGGAGGAGAGGGTGCAAACATGCTGCCCTTCCCATCTACATCCCCTCCCCTCTGAGCTCTGTTTACAAGAGTAATCATTCTACAGATATGGAGAGCAGCGAACGGGGAGGAGAGAAAGCAGACAAGAAATCGAGCAGCTGGAGAGAGACCGCTTAGCTGGCCCATTTCCCATGCCAGCCTTTAATAGCTGCAAGCCTGCAGCGGTCACTTGGCATTGAATGCAGGAAGGTCTTCAGTGCACTCCAGCTGGGTCCACATGGCCAGCCACTCACCAGGGTGTGTGTGTGTGTCGGGGCTGAGCTCAACCCCTAAGTGCCACAACACCCAGGCTGGATTTCAGCAACTACGTTTACAACACATTTGTGAGCCCGTTTCATTCTTTGGGGAATTGCACAATCCCTTCTGGGCTGTGTGCAGGGGTAGGTGGCTCCGCCATGTCTAGCAGCTCTGTGTGTACAAGGCATGCCCGCCACCGTAAGAATGGGACATCTGCTGGGCTCTCTCCTCCTCCTCCTCACCCAGCCACACACAACGCCGCACACATTCTATGTGGCAGCTGGGGTTCAGTTCAAGAAGCTGCTGGTTTGCGGCCAATTGGGTCCCATAACAAATGACGTGAGAAACATCTGGAGATGTGGCAGGAGAGAGCTAGGCTGGATCCCTCCTGGTAGGAGCACTGTGATCACATTTGACCACCATAAAAAATAGCTGCTTCTGTAGCCGTTGGAGATCTTTTTCTCTACCCAGGCTGCCTCTCCTTGCTTCTCACCTGAACTGTTCCGGTGTCTTAGCCTGGCTTCCACCCTACTGCCAGCAACATCTCACTGAGGCACAGGCCTGCCTAAGGCCTTCAGCAGCCCCCATCAGCCCTGGGCTGCGGGCCAAGTGCTCTGCCTAGCTGGAAGATCTGCAGCTTGAAGCCCACATGACTGGCCCTCTGTCATCCTCTCTGGACGGAGCATGCCAGCCCTACTGAGCAACCTGGGCTGGATATCCCTGGACTCAGACAGCACTGAGCTCTCACTGTCCCTAGAATGCACCAGGCTCTCCCATTCAGGACCCCTACAAGTCTGCCTGGTGCACCCTTTGCCCAGTCGGATGGCATGGCTAATGCTTATGCATCACCAAGACTCAACTCAGGAAAAAGTCTACAGTGCAAGATACACTTCCTTCCCTGACCAGGTTAAGTGACCTATTTTGTGCCCTAGCTGACACATTGTGTCTTCCATCCAGGCATATATGAGACAGCAGAGTAACTGCTGACCAACTTCTCCGTCTCCAATGATGTGTAAGCTCAGCATTTGCCACATAGTGGTTACTCTATAAACACTGGCTAGAGAGGAGGGAGCGAAGGGTGGTGGGGAGGGGAAGGGCGGGCAGGAGGAGCCACTCTGCTGAGACTGAGTACGCCTCCACCAACTGACCTGCGTCCATGCTGTGGTTCATCTGGTGGTCGCTGGTCTCTCCATCTTCACTCAGGTAGCCAGGGGGTGGGGTCTCTGGAATCAGAAGGTAGGTGGCCCATTAAACGGTTTGCACAGCTTGGCCCTGGTACACCATTTGCAAATACATCAAGGGTTCACGTTGCTACCCAGAATGGGGTGCTGGAGGAACACGGCCTAGGAGTGAAGGTGGCCACTCCTGGATTCTGCCTGCTCTGCCTGTCTGGACCAGACAGCACACCGACACGATGAACTCCCAAGCCTGAAATGCCTGTTCCTAGAGCTGCTGCCAGACTAACTTCTGCCTGTTCTTCAAGGTCAAGTTAACCCCACACCCTCTGGGGAGGCTTCTGGACTTGCCTCAGCCTCCCCCATCTCTGGCCTCTGGAGAGCTGCGCCCTCGAGCCCGCCCCTTGGCCCCTGCATCTTCCCCTGCAGACCGCTGCTGTCCGTATTTGTTGTCTCTAGGGATGTGGCTCAGCGCCCCAGGGAGACTGCTCTCCATTTCTCTCACACTCCTCCAGACCCTGCTTTAGCCTCCAAGGTCTGCCGTCCCAGGAAGGAGATGACTTACCCCCAGACCAGAGATACCTGCAAGGATCTGAAAGGGCTGGATAGGGGGCCTCTCCCACCCGCTCTGACCCGAGCACACAGGCTGGGCCACGCTCAGCCAGTGAGCTAAGCTAGAGTGAGAGCCACGTCCAAATTAGACCGCTCTAAAAGGAGCGCAGCTGGATGACTGCCCCAGCAAGCAAAAGTCGCTGTGGCTGGCCCAAGGGTGGCCAAGTACAATTCCCCAGGACGCCAAGAGTGCTGGTGATTCACACATCATTTGCATGTCAATGAGGGGCTTCTCAAAACATTTGCATTCTTTGACAGGGGAGCCCTTTTCTCCCAGCAGGCAGAGTAAAAACTCCAACTCTGCCTCCGCTCCCACCCAGGCTCTAACCCTTCCCAGGTCTGAAGCCCAGGCTACTTCCAGGGCCCTGGGCTCCCCTACTCCGCAGTCCCCCCTGCCTGCACGCCAGCCCTGGCCTACGGACCTGCGTGAGGGCGGCCGAGAAACACAGTGCTGCTATTTCCACTTCCAAAATAAATGAGTGCACTGAGGCTGGGCGGAAGGGTCACGCTGCCCCTCGTGCCAAGAAAAGCATCATTAGCCAGCGGGGAGCTGAGGCCACAGGTCCTCTCCCAGCAGGGATGCGGGTCTGTCAGGGGCCCAGGGCCTGCGTTTTGCACAGATAGAGGAGGACAGGGAGTTGGGGGGGACAGAGCAGGCCTGGGGCCACCCTGCTTCCCCAGCCTGTCCCCACCCCTATGAATACCTGGAATATTGCTCTGGGGCTCGATGCCGGCGGGGAAGTTGGTGTTCTCAGGGATGGAATGGCTGTAGTCGTCCAGCGGGGGGAACTCGGCCGGGATCTCTGTGTGCCGTGGCACCAGCACAGGAGGTAGAACTGTCCAAAGGAGACAGAGCAAGGCCACTCAGCACCTAGGCAGGCCTGGCACCAAAGCCCCTGAGCCCCCAGGCACGCCACACACCCTCCCTGGGGACGGTGCTGGGCAGCCCAGGGGCCATACCTGGCGTTTCTACCCTCTGGTAGTGGTAGGGGTTCACGCAGACCTCGTCCTTCTTCATGTTGAAGGCGAATTCACACAGCTCCATGGCCCGCAGCTCATGGTGGCTGTGCAGGTCAGGCCATCGCCACAGGCGGCAGTAGATGACATGGGGCAGCCCCTTCCGATGGGACACCTGCAGCCGGCCATCCAAAGACCTGCCGGCATGGGGAGGGGCAGAAAGAGACAGCCAAGTGGGTTTGGCTGGCCTTTTCCAGAGCCCAGCCCCCTCAGCTCCAGCCCCGGGTTGGCAGATGCTCAGCACTACACCCTCCCGCCTTCCTCTGGGCCCAGAAGTCCAGGAGATCAGAGCCGGGCTGTGCTGGAAGGGATCCTAGAAGAAGCAGGTGGCCCACCAAGGAAGACGCAGGGCCGCCACAGCCAGCAGAACTGGCCTTGCCCCCCAGGGTCAGGGTGAGCTCCCAGGAGAGCCGGGGCTCCTCTTGGAAAAGATTCACTGAAGCCTGCTCCAAAAAGGTCACTCCTCTGGCCCTGTTGCAGGCTAGAGGAGCAAGGAAGAGGGCTGGGTACAAGACAAGGCCAAGGTGGCAGGCAGAGTTGGTTCTACAGGGCCTGGGGGCTGTGACAGGGAGTCTGCCTTTTTAGTAAAAGCAGCTAAGTGGCCTCAAGGATGCTCACGGGGACTATGCTGGGGGCAGGTCCTGTGATAATTCTGGCTGAGGGTGACCAGTCACGAGGGTGACCAATCAGGTGGGGTTGAAGGTTGGAGTAGGGAGCTTAGAAGGGGGTGAGTAAAGAGGCTGAGTAAAGAGGCACCCTACCAAGGGGCATCGTAGGACTCTATCATTCAGGGAACGATTTTTCTCATAGCTGGGCGAGGCTGGCAGAAAGACAAGTGCTAGCTGTCCCCTTAGAACAGAGGATACCCATCAGTCTGAATAAACAGAATTTATGGGCACTCTGAAGGAGGTACAACCAGGGGCCCCATCCAGAGAAAAACAGAGGGAATCAATCAAAGTCTAAGCCATTGGCCTACGAAGGGTGAGGGACAGGCAAAGGTCAGCACTGGGCTTGGCCTCAGGGACAAACCAGGAGCTGCTGAGTAAGGGCATCTGGAGGCATCTGGAAGTATGTAATTACCTCCCTCCCGTGGGGCCCAGACCAAGGAACCCCTACAGCTGAAAACAGTAATTACCAGGCAGAACAAGAGAGGACAGACTGAGACTTGCCCCTAAGGTACAGCGGGAAGACTGCCAGATATGGAGTCATAAGGCCTGGAGTCAAGATGTGTTTCCACTTTCCCTGCTGCAAGACTCTGGGCAAGGCATAATGTTTCTAGGGCCTTCAGTTGCCTTCTCTGCAAAATGGAGACGTTCTCCCACTGCCCTGACCTCAGCGAAGCTCAGTGTCCATTTACAGATGCTTTGCAAAGCACTAACCAGCACAAACCTCCTAAGAGCCTCTCTCCACCTTGCTCTGGATAAGGGGGTGACCGAGAAAGAAAGGGAGAGTAGGAAGTGGTGAGAGGGGACAGAGAATTAGTCAGCCATTCTCACTCTCTTGCAAAGCCACCAAATGCCCACAGATTAAGGAAGTGGCCACATTGGCTCTTCAGGGTTTGACAAAAGCTCCAACAAAGGGCCAGCTGGGTGTTGTAGTCCCCTCTGCATGGAGCGCCCCTAGAGAAGAGCTCAGGCCAGCGGGAGAGAAGAACGAGGTCAGAGGGAGGCCCCATGTGGGTGCTGGAAGGAGGCGGCCACCTTTCTTTAAAAATAATGATACATGAATTATTCTGATGATAATTACATTTTTAGCAAGCCAGGAAGCTATGGTCATCAAGGAAGTGTGGAAAATAGTATGGAGTCAGACAAACAGACCAGTGGAACCTGACAGAGTCCACAAACGGTCACACATACACAGACAAGTGATTTCCAAGAGCTAAGTGAGTGAAGAAAGGATGGTTACTTCAACAAATAGTGGTAAAACAAGTGGGTATCCACAGACAAGAAGAGCAAATGCCAACCTATACCTTGCATTCACCCAAAATGTAATAGAAGAGGGCCACAGTGGAAAGCCGAAAATTACAAAACTTTGGAACAGACAAACATTTCCAGTACTTCATCAAAAGCACAATCCATCAAAAAGAAAGCTGAGATGTTGGACTTCATCAAAATTTAAGCCTCTGATCTTTGAAAGACATTATACTATTAAGAGAATAAAAAAGATGGGAAGCCAACCGGGAGAAAATATTTGTAAAGCAAGTATCTGATAAAGGACCTGAATAAAGAGCTCCAAAAACTCAAAAGAAACCAATTTTAAAATAAGCAGCAAGTGATTTTTAAAAGATGCTATACAAAAATAAGCTAGCAAATACGCACATGAAAAGATGTTCTGTATCATTAGTCATTAGAGAAGTGCAAATTAAAACTGCAATGAGCTACGACACCATTATCAGAATACCTGAAATTAAAAGGATTGTTTATGCCACCTGTTGGTGAGGAGGTGGAGCAGCGGGAACTCCAGAACCTCGCTGGTGGGGTAGAGAGATGGTTAGTGGGGAAAACAGTTCAGGAGTCAAAATGTAAACGCACCCTAAGATCCCCCCAGTCCTCAGCATTTACCCAAGAGAACTGAAAGCACATGTCCAAGGACTGGCATCCGATGGGGTCAACACAAAGGCACACCCTTGGCAATCAAGAAAGGACTGTTGATACGTGTGACATTGTGCATGGATCCAAAACTGATTGTGCTGACTGAAAAGAAGCCAGACATGATTCTGTTTATGTAAAATTATAGAGTAATTTAAAGTAAAGTAAAAATACAAACTGTTCCACACACAGTGACAGAAAGCAGATTGGCAGTTGCCCAGGCAGGGGAGAGGGCGTGTGCAGGGGAGGGAGGGATGAAGGACCGAAGTGTATAGGTATATACATGTCAATTTATCAAATTGTGTGTGTGTGCGTATTTTTTTTCTTTTCTTTTTTTTTTTTTTTTTGGTACCAGGGATTGAACTCAGGGGTGCTTAACCACTGAGCCACATCCCTAGCCCTTTTATTATATATATATATATATATATATATATATAAATTTTTTTAGTTATCAATGGACCTTTATTTTATTTATTGACACATGGTGCTGAGAATTGAATCCAGTGCCTCACACATGTTAGGCAAGCATTCTGCCACTGAGCCACAACCCCAGCCCTATGTTTTATTTTGAGACAGGGTCTTGCTAAGTTGCTTAGGGCCTCGATAAGTTGCTGAGGGTTGCTTTGAACTTGCAATCCTCCTGCCTCAGCTTCCTGAGCCGCTGGGATTACAGGTGTGCGCCACTGCATCTGTTTCAAACTGTATATTTTAAATGTGGGCAGTTCACTTGCAAATTATATCACAATTTCTTTAAAAAGGCAAGGGCCACACCTGGATTTGAATACAGATGCTGCGCTCACTATCTACATGAAGCTGAGCAGATCACCTGCTGTCTCAGTCTTAGGGCTTCACTTTCAGTGGACTGGCGGGAGGGCTAAGCAATACTCTTTGCAGAAAGCCCTAAAGCGGATGGCAGGTGAGGAGGCTATACACAGCAGCAACTGCCTTGTGACTTTGAGTAACTGTTGCTGCCTCGTTACTACAATGGCGCCTGACAAAGTAAGGTACACAGTAGGTGTTCAAAGATACTATTTTCCTCCCCACTCTGGCCATCTGAGTGCACAATTGGGGGGGGTCATGAAAAGAGGCCTCCCTTACGTGTCCTTTATTTGGTGGCATCCCCACTGCCATGCTGTGTGGTCAGTAAGGCCCCTCTCTGTACCCCTCGGACATCCAAGAGGCAAAGCTCAAATCCCAGGCCACCTAGCAGTCTGCACCAGGGCTGCCTCTCTGGCTTCAGGCTGGGTCCTGATGGCAGGGACACAGGCATAATCTTATTCTCCCGCTCATGAGCTCATGACCACCAGTCTGACTTGGTGGGATTTTTTAGAAGTCATTTGGTCCATGCCCCTGCTTCTGAGCCATCAAACTCTCATGACAGGAAGGGCATCTCGTTCACTTCTTTTGCATCAGTAACAATCCCTCTTGGTTCGGAGTCTGGCTGCCAGGGCCCAGAACCCTGGTGCTGTTCCTTCTTCCTCCCGGTCCCACTCAAAATACATACCAATGCTCAGCAAGATAATAATAGTGAATAGGGATTCCAGCTGCTGGATTTAGTACAGCTGATGTGTCCGGAATACACCCTCCCAGCCTTACAGGGCACCGGGCCCACTAAGTAAGTCCAATAAATGAGTCTTAATTCTGAGCTAATGTTACCATAAACATGCTTAGTTGCAGAAAAGGGTCTATTTCTGACCCACTCTTTCTCTAAGCTGGTCCAAGACCAGCTGCTGGAGTTTTGAGAGTACAGTCCCAGGAGGCGGCCTTGGGCCTCCCCGCTAGTCACAGCCTCCATCTCTTCCCACACCCAGTGGCTTCCTAATAAGACCCTCAAACGTCTTTCTCCAGCAACTCCCTCAAGCTTTTCTGACAGAAGGTCTTAATCTTTAAATATATTCTTCACTAGCCAAACAATTTCCTGTGGCAGGAAATTAGGTTTCCTCCCATTGGTTCCAAGTGGGTCCCGTAAAGTGTCCCAAAATGGTGGTGGAGCCACAGCCAAGGATGTGGACATGCCAGAGCCCAGGGCCCCTGGTGAAGGTGCAGCCGGCCAGAGCGCTCCCCAGGGAAGAGCTGCAGCCAAATACCACTCCTGTCCCTAGAGCTGTGATCAGCCACCCCATACCCCCATCTGGGGGACAGGACTGGGGCTCAGAGTTGGGGGCAGAACATAAAAGTTCCAGAAACACACCAAGCGCATGAACTATGTGCCAGGTACTGCCACCACACGAGAATACAAAACAGCCACCCCAGAGGACCTCATCCTGCCTGCCTGGTTCACAGAACTGAAGGGACCCTCTGGGGTCCACAACTTGCCCAAAGTAGGATCAGGTTCAAACCCAGACCAGTGCTAAAAAATGGGGAGGGAGGTGGGTGGGACGAAGAGAGCCTTCTATTGTCACACACTGCTTGTCTACAGGGAAACCGACTCCTTGTCAGGCATCGGGTAGTTAGTTATTGAACACCTACCATAGCCTGGGCACAGTGCCAGTGACTTGAGCCAAACCGGTGACAGAAAGTAAAGGTGTCAACACTAGCATCTTTCCAAT